AGACACGCAGACACGCGCATACGCACTCTGACAGACAAGCCGGACGGACAAGCCAAACAGATGACAACAACAACAACAACAACAACAACGACAAGTACTTTTTTTTTTTTTTTTTTTTTTTTTGAAAAAAAAAAAAAAGACAACAATAAAAAGACCGGAATCACGCACACGCCTTACTCGTTCCCACTTCGAGCGGGACTCAAGAAGGCACGCGCGTGCAACGAGTGCGTGCAACTGACATACAGTGGGTGCCCACCCTCGGCGGCGGCAACTTGTCTGGCGGCGGGCACTTGCGCGGCAGCTGTCATTAGCCTCAATACCACGGGGAGGGAGAGTGCTGTTGCCACCCTCTAGCTGTTTGCTCTTGCCGGCTGGTTGATGCGACCCAGATTGTCAGACTACGACCGGACTACTGCATCTCCTCCGACTACTACTGACATTGCTTCCCACCGCCCCCGGCTACGACTGCTAGGTAGGAGCAGAAGAGTGTAGGGGCCCTACCCCCCTCCCCCCTCTGTGGCACTCCAGCCGGACTGATGTGTCTGTCAGGTGTTACAGAATACGGATACTATTGAGTATTATTGTTGAATGAAACAAAATATGTGACATTGAAACCACCACCAGTGCAACAACCACATGACAGCTTGCACTGCTACTGCTGCTACTCCGAGTATCACTATCACCGCCGCCACCACCACCGCCACCACCACCGCCACCACCACCGCCACCACCACTGCTGCTGAGTAGCGATACGTGCTGTTGCCTATGACAGCACCGCTACTGAGTGCTGCTGCCGGTGTGTTGCTGCTGCTACTTATGCTGCTGCTGCTGCTGCTGCTGCTACTGCTGCTGCTGCTAGTAGTACTCCGTAGTAGTGGTGGTGGTGGCGGCGGCGGCGGCGGCGGCGGTAATATATAGCAATAATACTACAGTCTACAGGTATCAATGCTACTAATAATACATGTTTCCATCGAGCAGTGTATGATGGTACTACGTGTACTGCTCGTACTATAATACCGTTTTTCTTTTTCCCGGACTGATCGCTCCTTCCTCATTTTCCGGTCCTTTTTTCCCTCCCCGACCTCCCCCCCACCCAACACATTTCATCCGAAATCTCTTCCTTCTCCCTCCTCATCCATCTTCCATGTCTTTTCTCCTCGAGAAACCATCGCGTGTCCCGTAACGGCCATAGCTGCGGTCTCGGGATTTTGCGGGGAGGTAGGTGTTCGATGCCGCCCACCAGCCAGATTGTTGCAGCATGTCTTCTTCCAGAGCCCCGGACGGCGCCGCCCAACGCCCAACGCAGCAGCAGCGGCAGCAGCAGCAGCAGCAACAGCCTGGTCCACGGCGGCAGCAGTCGCGACGGGCCCTCCCGCACGTCTTACTCGCAGCATCGGATGAATACTCGTCGTCGTCGTCGTCGACATCGCCGAGAAGGCATGCCGGCCGCGCACGGTCGTCGGATTTCAACCTGAGCTCTTCGGGTGCCACGAGTATTACCTCTACCAGTTCGTCGTCGCCATCGGCAGCGCACCCTCGGAGCTCGGTCACGAGGGTTGCCTGCGATGCGTGCCGGAGGCGAAGAACAAAAGTACATATGCATGACCCCACCCACCGCGCACAGGCGCGCGAGAAATCAGGACTGATCCAAAGGGGAGAGACGGGAGGAGATGGGAGGAGGGCTGTGGAAGAGAGCATCCATCACTCCCGCATCGACGTACTGATGATGTGCTGACGCTCGACGTAACAGTGCAGCGGTGAGCGCCCCAACTGCGCGGCATGCGTCAACTACCGCTCCGAATGCCACTACTCGTCGGCCACGCCGTCCGAGACCAACTCGCAGGCCCTCAAGCGCCGATACGACGAGGTGCGCCGCGAACGAGACCTGTACCGCGACCTGTACGACTGTCTGTGCACCGTGCCCGACGTCCGGGCCTTCGACATGCTGCGTCAGATACGGGCCCGTACCGCCAGCCCCGCCGCCATCCTCAGCAGCCAGGCCCACGAGCAGCATCCCGGCGACGAGGCCGGCGCCGGGGCCGACGCCAGCCCTCGGCCACCTCCGCGGGCGTCGACGTCGCTCACCGTGGTGCCGGGGCTGGACGTGCAGCAGCTGTGCTACGAATTCCCCTACAGGGCCGCCATGCCCCGCGCCATTGAGCGTTCGCCAAGCGTCTACCTCGACTCGGTGCTCTACCAGATCGTCCACGCCGTGTATCAGCACCGAGGCGCTGAATCCGAGAGGAGGGATCAGTGGGAGCGGCAGCTCAAGACCTTGGCCGTGCAGCATCCGCCGGCCTACCTGAGACCGTACCACACGGCACGGCACATCGATTCGCGCCTGCGCCTCGTGGATGTCAGCCGGTGGACGTCGGTTATTAGCGACAGTGCCCTGTTCGCGTCGCTTGTATCGTCGTATCTCGTCTACGAGCACCCTTCCTCGCCCGTTCTCCAGCAAGATATCCTCCTCGAGGCCATGGTCAGCGGAGATGAGCGCTTCTGCTCGCCTTTGCTGGTGAACGCCCTGTTGGCCAAGGCTACTGTACGCGCCCCCTTTCCTCCCCCCCCCCTCTGTCCTCTGTATCGTCGCACATCTCACGGGAGGGTTGAGACGGAACAGGATGGTGGGGGAGATGACGGCATCTGACCTGAACCTAGCACTGCTGCCTAGATGTCCCCGATCGGAGAAAGTACTGGGACCCGTCGAACCTGTCGTACGCCTTCCTCGCCGAGGGGAGACGGCTATGGGAACTGGACGGTCACAAGGACGACCTCGTCACCGCCGAGGCCGCCGTCCTCTTGTACATTACCTACACCCACGACGGGCTCGACATCATCTCCCACCGGTACCTGGAACGGGCGTTGGCCATATGCGTCGCTCTAGATCTTTTCCGCGCCAGGCCACCTACCATGGATCCCAAGATGGGGCAGGCCATGGACTTCCTGGCGTGGAGTATATATCGGTGGTCAGCGTGGGTTATCCCCCTCTCTCCTGCTTCGTTCCGTCTTGGTATATATAACACACACACACACACATATATATATATATACGCAGAGTATATATATGCACGCATCTCCTCTTCTTCTTCGCTTCAGAGGATCATCTCCCTTGGACGGACGGTTGGATGGCCGGCTTTACTGACTAGCTTACCTGCGCGCCTGTGTAGAGTGTACAGCTACTACTTCCAGACAGCACCCCTCATCAAGACCATACCCGAGATCGTACTGCCCGACCCGGAAAAGAACCCGACGTGGTACGGCGACTTCTACCTGCTCTACCCGCTCAGCGACACGCCATTCTCGACCTACCACGGCCTGCTGTTCAGGGCCGTGTCGGATCTGCGAGTCATCGTGTGCGACATTGGCCAGACGGTCTTTTCCAAGGGGGGGCCACCTGCTCTCCCGGCCGAAAAGTACATGAGTCTCCTGGGGAGGATGGAGGCTTGGTTCGAGTCTCTACCTGGACCGCTGACACCGAAGCATATAATCTGGCCGGCGCAGATGACGATGCAGTATGTCTCTTTCCACCTCTCCATCCCTCCCTCTCTCTCTTCCTCTCTCTCTCTCTCTCTTCTTTCATCCCTCGCCTCCTCCTCTCCGTCTTCAAGCCTTCCTCCCATGACATCAACTGATCCGCCCCCCCCTTTAGTATGGAGTATTTTATCGTCGTGTCAACAATGTCGCGCATGTCCATCGTAGAAGATGCCGCCTCACCGTCATGCACCCCGTCCCAGCGGCGACGCAACCTCGAAGCAGCACGCAGACGCGCATCCGACACGCTCTCCCTCGCCCTGGTGCACCTCGAAACGCTAGCACGGCTATACTACCTCCGACACTCGTATTCCCACTACGACCCGCACCTGACACAGGTCTTCTCCACTCTAGCCCGATACATGAGCATGTCACGCGGCATCAACTCCACCACCGCCAATACCGATACCAACCCCAACATGGCCAGCACTAGCAGCACGGACACCAGCGGCAGCACCGGGGTAACAGCGACGTCAACAACCCCCGGCAGCAACGCCACGGTGACAGGCCAGGAGGAAGATGCAGAGGAGCATATCAGGTCCACCCTGGTCCTGTGCTTCAAGGGCCTGTCCGACCAGGGATGCCACAACAACCTCGCCGCCGTCGTGTGCAGGCTCCTCCTCGAGCGGCAGGCGCCCGACGTCGTCAGGCTCGTCAGCCCGTACATACGCCCCGACGTGGTTGCCGACGAGGATGCCATAGGGAGGGCCGTCAGGTCCGCTTACCCCCTGTACATGTCCGGTGCTGGGGACGATCCCGATGATGCTAGGTTGGAGAATATCTTGAAGAGGTAGGATCGACTTGGGGGCTTATAATTTATATATATATATATATATATCTGCTGGTCACGTTCAATAGCGCGCGTAGATGATGGTGCAATCATGCAGGTGCATCGGCCCCCCTCGGATGAAAGGGCCGCAGCGGTTGGGATGATCTTGTTCTTTCCATCCATCTCGTGAGCCTTATTCATGTTTTGCGTATCGGCCCGAAGCAAGCGGCCCCGGCACCGGAACATGTTTCTTTACGGTAGCATTTGATGTTTATGTAAATAATATCAAGATGATGTTGGTTATTGATTAAACTTTTTCATTACAGATGTATAATCTGTATATATATATATATATATAAACCCTCGCCTTCCCATGTACATTGTTCGGCGCTTTCTTCATTCCGGGACTCTAGATATATATCTATGTGTGTGTGTGTGTGTGTGTGTGTGTTTGTTTATGGATTGCTTTCGGCTTCTTCTCTCTCTTTAATAAATTTGTTCAATGTGAAAAAAAAAAAAAAAAAAATTGGCACGGTAATCATGCATAGAGAGGACTGAGAAGAAATGAAGCACTACTATAACATAAAATAGTCCGTTATTGTTGCTATTTTCTCTTCTGGAAAGAACATGACTCATCATATATACTTTATATATCCCCTGTATGCTTTGCCCCCCCCCCCCCCCCGCAGCACTCGACTCATCTTCATACCCTCTTCCTCTTCATCCGGATCCCCCCATAAGATTCATATGCATAATGACATCTGCCTCCCACGAATCGACGTCGTCGTCATCACGGGCATTATCGCTACTGCTACCTGCACCTGCACCCGCACCTGCACCTGCACCTGCACCGCCCGTGGTGGCACCGACGCTCGTATCGCTGGCGCCGGCGCCGGCGACGACCACCTCCTTCTCCACGTGGCCGCTATCCCAGAAGTCGAGCGGCTCCCTGCCGTCTACTCCCGGTAGACGGATCTGCGGTGTAGATGTAGACCTGCTGTCCTTTGGCGAGCCGAGCGTCGCCCCGGGTGGCGGTGACGTGGCGGGCGGTAGCTCGGCCGGTCCGCCATCCATGTCGTACGCGCCGTGGCTGGAGCCGGGCGGTGCGCCGCCCAGTTGTCGAGCCGTGAGCGATGACGATGACGCCATCCACGACGCTCGGTTGGCCGGGTACCCTTGTCCTGCTCCTTCCGAGGGGCCGTAGCCCATCGTTGGCGTTCGGTCGCCCGTGATGTCCCCGTCGGTGGCTCCCATGTGACCCATCTGCTGGTCGTACTCGTCGTGCTCCATGATGCGCGGCGGCGCCATGCCGTCAGGGCCGCCGGCCGCGATGCCCCCGCCCATGCTGCGGTTGCTCAGGCTGTGCGTCGAGTTCCGGTTGCTGGGCGTGTCGCCTGCTACCGCCGCTGCCGCCTCGCCCATGGCCGTCGCGTCGACGTCGCGGATGGCAAACTGCGCTATCGTGGCCATCTTGCGCGTCACCCACCCTGCTAGCAGCTTGCCGCGCTGCTTCTCGCCCAGTCGCGACCGTGGGAAGTCGCCCCGATTGACGAACGCCACAATGTCCACAATGATTTGGTGCTCGTTCAGGATCGCGTTGACAATCACCGGCACGATCGACGCCAAGTATGACTTCCGGCTCACCTCGACCAGGACGACTACCAGGCCACCTGCTTGGAATACGGCACTGTGCGTATGCGTGTTAGCATCCTCTTCTTCGACGTCGGGAGCGGGGAGGAAAGGCAGGGAAAGGGGGGGGGGGGATTGCAACGCACCATCCTCCTGTCACAATGTTCCGGTGACAGCGCTCGACAGAATACTCGATATCCATGGGGAAGTGGCTGAGACCGTTTATCTCAAACGTCTCGCCGATGCTGCCTAGGACGAAGAGCACCTGCATGTCGACCAGCGCACCGCCAGGCCCGATAGGCCGGCTGACGCTGTGCAGGAAGCCCAGGTCTCCCGTACGGACATACGCCACGTTGGGGTCGCCGTCAATCGTGCGCCCGTCGAAGCGCTCGGCGTCGAAGATGTCCTTGGACCCGTAGAACGACTTGACGCACGCCTCCGAGTCGACCCAGATCTCGCCGTACTCACCCTCGTAGCAGTGCTCGCGGCTCTCCGGGTTGACGATGGCAATCTGCGTCGATACCGGCACCATACCCGAGTCCTGGACCAGCAGGGCCGATGGGTCAGACTCCGGGTCCACAGGCATCACCAGCCCGCGGCGGAGCGCACGGATGTCCAGCCACAGCTCTATCGGCTCGATGCACATGTACGACCGCGACGCCACCATCGGGTTGAGCACGTGCGAGTAGACCGTGTTGATGGCCGTCCTGTCCAGGCCCGCAGCCGCAAAGTGCAGCCTGACCTTCTGGAACACGTCAACCCGCGGACGCGTGTCCGCCGTGATCATCATGTTCTTCAGCTCGTGCAGAGTGAAGCCCTTGGCCAGCATCGCCGCCATGGCGTGGTCCAGCATCTGCGGCGTCGCGTACGTGTCCTTGATCTTGTAGCGGGACAGAGTCACGAATAGAGACATGGGGTTCTGCGCAAACTCCACCGGCGACAGCAGGTACGTCGGCGTGCCAATGTATATACCCATCAGGCACGAGTGTATGAAGCCCAAGCCTGTCGTGCTGCGCACGCAACCGAGAACGGGCCTCGAGCTTGTCATCTGGCACGTCTCCTTCTGCACCTTGCACATGCCCATGATCGTGTCGTGGCCCAGCTGCACCGCGATCCTGCGCTGATCAGGTGTCCAGTACGTCCAGACGACGACGGGGTACCCCGGCTTGACCCAGGCCGGATCCACAGTCAGGCCCAGGTCACGGAGGCCGCTGCTCTGCTTAGGCGGCTTCGTAGTGTTGTACGTGTTGGGGAGCGTAATCTTGAGGACCTGGGCCGACTGCTTGACGTGGCTGCTCAGGGGCTTCGTCTTGAGCAGGTGGTCGACCTCTTGGTTCACGAGCACAGCCTTGACGTTATAGTCGGCAATGATGTGGAGGTACGCCGGCACGTCCTCGTTGAGGCGGTTCTGATCCAGGGGCGGCATGGGGATGATGATGGCGCCGAGGTTGATGCAGGCGTGCACCGCGTAGACAAACTCCTCGGAGTGCGTGTACATGAGCACCAGGTGGTCTCCCGCGCGCACCTTGACCTTGTTCTTGAGATACATGGCCACCGACGAGACCCGCGTGTCAAACTTCTTCCACGTGATACCCTTGCCTTCGCGACCCCGACCATCGATGGTACAGTAGGCCAGCTCCTCGGGCTGACGGGCCACGCGCCACTGGATGAGGTCGGTGATGCAGGAGAAGTTGTTGAGGGGCGTCGACGTTCTGTCGTCAATCACCACCTCTCGCCGGTCGATGCCCGAGTACTGCTTCTCTGCCGGTGCCAGCACGTGGGCGCGAGAGTCTGACGCCAGCGGCGACCAGATGCCCCCCATCGGGTCTATGCCCACGGGCAGGTTAAGCACCGCATGCTCGACACCGAACTTCACGTGGACGCACGGCAGGTTGCCGTGATCAAACTCTCGGCGACACAGCATGTTTCCAATCTCACGCCGGCCGTTCTTGATCACTCGCGGCAAGGTATTGGGCGCCGTGACCATGACACAGTAAGGACGAAGGTGATGCTCCTGCAGGAGCACATCCATGCACCTCTCTGCCAGGGTATCCAAGAGCATGGTGTCGAGCTGTCTCGGCGGCCCACCCGAGGTCAGCGGCTCCGTCGAGGCAGCGGGGGTCTCGATGAGCACGACGGGCAGATGCTCGTCATTGACGAAGACGTCAAATGCCGAGCAGTCGTAGATCTTGGGTATGTTCTTGACGATGCTGACGACGATGTGCTGGACGAAGAAGTAGCGGTACTCGGCGAGTTCGTGGCCGTGCTCGACCCACTCCACCTTTTGCCGGATACGATCCTCGTACAAGCCCAGCACGAAGATCTTGCCCTGGATCACGGTACCGAGCAGACCTGTGCGCAGGAACTCTGGCTCCACCGGCGTCGGCGTCGCCTCGCCGCGGTCAAACTTGTACGGCCGCGCGTGGAAGATTGCCTCGGTGCTCCTCGGCTGTGCCCAGAAACCGCCGGAGAGGGAGGGCGAGTCAACCCAGATCTCGCCGACCGAGTGATGCGACGCCAGAAGACCGGTTTCGGGGTCGACCACGGCGAGCGTGGCATCGGGGATGGGGAAGCCAAAAGCGCCGACGGGGACGGCACCAGGCTCTGTCGCAGCCTTCTTCCTCGCCTCCTCTCCGATAGCCAGGACGATGACCTCGTTGGTCTTGAGGGCTTCGCGGTCGAGGAGCACCTCGTTCACCTCTCTCTTGGAGCTTTGCCGTGTCGTCGTCGTGGTGCCACCGCTCAAGAGACTTCCGAATCCATTGGAGTTGCCCGGCTTCTCTGCCTCCTCGTCCTTCTTCCCGTCTTCTGACTCATCATCGGACTCGATGTCGAGTTTGAGGGGCACACCCATCCGCTCCTCACCGCCGAGCCAGTCCCGGATGCTGATCACCATTCCACCGTGCTCGGGCAAGCAGAGCATCGGCGCCACGGCCTCTCGGGCCCTGGGGTTTCTCAGCGGGCGAAGCCACCGGTCGGCCAGCACCTCGTGGAACTCGCTGTCCACCGTGAGGGTGTCGATCAAACACATCTTGACTGCCTGGAAGTTCGGCTCCATCCCTTTCTTAAAGTTTCTGGTAGTCATAGGATCTTGCAGGTAATTGTAGACAGCGCGCTTCAGGACAGGGTAGTCCGCAACCATGAGCGTCGCCTTGTATTTCGTGATGAGATAGGCGTACTGCCCGGGTTGATCCACCGCCTTGTTGTCGAACCAGACGGTCGTGTGTCCGCCGTAGACGGTCAACAGGATGGTCAATATCATGCCGATACCCTGTCGCGGGTCCAGGTAGGAGAGCAGAATCTCACTGCTGGCGCCTCCACCGATGAGCCTGCCGTTCTTGTCGCGCAGCGAGGGGTTAAACGTGTCCCCGGGGCCGTTTTGCGGAATGGTCGAGATGACTGCGCTCAGGCAGGCCATCTGGTGCATGATTGTGCGATGGCTGAGGACAACACCACGGACATCACCTGTCGGCGCCTTTGAGAACTCGATGTAGGCGAGGTCAGGGACTGCGAGAGGCGGGACTTCTTCCTTCTTCTTCGGGTGCCAGCTACCAAACTCATTCGTCTTCCACCACTCGACTCCCTTGGGCCATGTCAGCTTCTGAGTTGAGATGTCACGCTGAAACGCCTTGAGGTTATTGTCGGTGGTGAGGGCGAGGTGAGCCTGGGTCGAGGTGAGGATGTAATTGAGCCTCTGGTAGTCCTGCAGATCGTTGATGGGCACGGCCACGACGCCGGCGATGAAGCAGCCCAGGAGAGCGATGGCAAAGTCGATAATCTCGGAATCGCGGTAGACGAGGGCGACGCGGTCTCCTCGATACAGTGAGCTCTTGTCCCTGATGACCTGGGCCACCTTCTCCGCCCTCGAGGCAAGCTTATCCCAGGTGATGGAGGAAATCTCCTTGCCCCTGCTGTCTAGGATCCAGTAGGCGGGAACTTTGGCATTGGTGACGGCCCGATGCCTCAAGACGGCGGCAATGTTGTCAAACTTTGACATGGCAATATTGCTGTCGTGTGGATCGTGAATGGCAAACGGTACCTCGCGGGGCTCCAGTGGCGGTTGGTAGTCGAGGGCCTCGGGAGGAGGCAGATCATCAGCCGTGAGCATCGGAGGGGCAGTGGCAGCCGTCGGGGAGAAGGGGTCGGTGGTGGAATAGCGTTGCTGCACATTGTACTCGCCGTAATCGCCCTGGCCTTGGTCGTAATGCTGCTGACCGGCGAAATCGGAGAAGAAGCCCTGGGAATCCATAAGGGTGCCAGTACGGCCGTCCTGGGCCCCTTGCGGCGGGTACGGAGGCTGGTCCTGGCGGGGGTACATGCCGTGCTGCTCAGGGTTGAAAGCATAGTCGCCAGACATCATGGTACCAGTCCTCGATTGTGCGTCGATGGCAGGGCCGGGTGACAGGAAGAGCGAGTCGCGTTGCGGCATGAAGCCACTCTCTGCAATGGGACCGCCCGGGCGCAGGAGGCCCGCGGGGTTCATGGGGGGCGATACCGGTTGTTGAGATCCGTACGCCGAAGTTGGACGGTATGAGGAGGAGAAGGACTGGTCGCCGCCCACGCTCGAATGGGAGGCAACCCGTTGGTGGGAGGAGACGCGCTGCCTCTCGGACTGATACTTTGGGGCATCGGGATCGTGTAGTTGGAGACCGCCTCGTTTCTGGGGTGGGGATTGCGGTCCGATCGAGTACATGGAAACGATCTGTGCCCGTCTCTTCTGGTAGCTGTAGGAAATGGGTATGGTAAGACAATGCCGCGCACACTGGAGGATGGATAATAATCGGCAGGCTCACCCTTTCTCGGTAATATCCCCTTCCTGCAATGCCACGGTCAGTAACGGTCAGAGGAAACAAGGTGGGCCAGCTGGCAGTCGGCCGGAGAAGGGGAGGGGTTGAGGGCGGAAGGAGGGGGGAGCAGAGAGTGGTGATGGTGCGGACAGGCATACCTCCAAGTCACGCTGCAGCTCGCTGAGCTGGGACTGGAGTTCGGATGGGTAGTCAGCCATGATAGGCGACAGCTTCGGCCAGAAGCAAAGGCGGCGGCGTCTGCAGCTGAAGAAGGATGGTCTGGAGCGATCAGGCGGCGGTCGTTTCCGGGTGTCGAGGAAGAGACGAAACTGGGAAGGAGACAGATGGAAGGGGAGGAGGGACTGTGGGCTCTCGGTGCCTCAGTACGGGTACAGTGGCACAGGACGAGTTTGGTGGTGCATGCCGATCCATTCAACGAGTCCAGCGCTTACAGCCCGCTGTAATGTTCCGAGCCTCGACTGCGAGTATTGCTCCGTAGCGCATCGCGGCGGTATACCTGCGCTGTACAGATTCCCGTAGACCATCTTACATGTGTCGAGGTGTCCACCCAATCCATGAACTGAAGGCTCGGGGCCCGACCCGTACAGGTTATCAACACCAGACCACATCACTGTTCAGCGTCATCACATAGCTGGGTTGAGTCCCCATGGTGAGGGGCCCCCCACAGTAGAGACCCCCGTGGTGAAGGAATGCAAGGATCAATATAGCGGGCGCTCAGGCTCGGCGTCTCCTCCCACCCACGAGAAGAAAAAAAAAACGCCACCCACAATCCCGTGACGTAGCTGCCACCATTGCGTGGGACGGCCGGAGCCGTTGACGGTTTGGCCCTGCGGGCTATTACTTCAATGGCCTCTCGTGACGAGTGACGATGATGGATGGTCTGATACTAGAGGTATGCATTGCCAATGAAAAGGCCGTGTGCGGTGCCTCTCTCCCTCTCCCGGCTTCCATTGCGAAGCTTGTGTGTGTGCTCTGCAGCCTCTGCTGGAAGCACTATTATTACGAGCGATAATAATACGAGCTGGAATGATGATACAGATTAATCTGCACAGATTGCAGATGAAACGGCCAAAGAGTGATATTACTATTACTGCGAGTAGAGCGGTATTGATACTCGTCGTACACGTACTTCCAGCAGCGAGCACCTAAGCAAGTGGGCAGGCACACGACACACGTTTCACTCTATTCGAGCAATATTACTCCATTCAACGCTCGGGGTCGATGCTGCTGCTGCTGCTGCTGCTGCTGCTGCTGCTGCTGCTGCTACGGAGCAGAAGCATTATTACTACTGGCATCATTACTCTCACGGGCGAGCAGAGGCCCTCGAATCGTCACCGCATCTCCGTCATGTGTCTTGAACCCTCCACCCATGGAGTGATACCGAGGTTCGAGTTTCGCCTCCCGTCACGGCACTGCTGCTAGACCGGTGGCTAATATTGATCTATATACTCTCGTACTAATCTGTGCTCGTACTCGTACGTCGTACAGAGGCCATGTTCACCCTGGTTGACTTACTAGGGTTTGTCTGTCAATACGAGACTGGCCAACTCGTAAAATGTCCGTACCCCTGTCCATCACGGAGGACGGGGAAGTGTGGAGCAGGCTTACGTACCTGCCTGGTATTGAGGTACGGATACATGTAATCCACCCCGTACAGTGCTCGAGTATTGCGCTGTGTCGACACTCTGGCAGATCTAACCCGGTAGTTGTAAACACGCCGGGTTACTTTTAGATTGGCGGCCATCTCATGATACATGTCCGGTCTTCTAGCATTGTTGCCTGTACGAGTACCCGGTAATCCGTACGAGTACTCCGTTTGGATACTAGGCACTCAGACGAGAGCCAAGATTTCGACCGACCCATACAGACCGGGGCCGTAAGCGGGGAAGGCAGCATTTATATAGGTACAGATTAGTATAATGTAGGCACTACGAGTACATACCAGTCCGTACATGCGAGTATGTAATACTCACATATCAGTCTCATTCCGTCAACCGCCCAAGTTCAAGTTGAAGAAGGAAAGAAGATGGCATCGCATGATACATTCGAGCAGAAGCCAAAGCAAGCAAATACTTGGAAGCGGATGATGGTCAGGAAATGCCGCGACTCTCTCCGTCGGTCAGGCCTCAGCCAGGGATGGTGGCACGTGATTACTTCGTACGCTGTGGATCGCCCCTTCTAGGTTTCGTCCTTTCCCGGCTTCACGCCTTGTGGATATATAACATCTCTCCCTCCTATAGCGAATGGCTACATCTTCCATTGTTCCTCTCATCGTGCCTCTCATCCGGATCTCGTTGTCTACGTCTCCTGGCTGTCCTCGTCCACCAGCTGTGCTGCCTTCTTCGATACCCCCAGATGTTCTCTCCTCTGTGCATTCTCCTGTGCTTTTTGTCCCCTCTCCCATCTGCCTCTTTTGTCTGCGCACCCCTGCTACCGACACGTGCCTCCTCGTCATTCTTTGTCCCTTCCTCCTCCATCTTAGCCACGATTCTCGGTACTGGTGTCTTTCTCAGCTCATCACGTAACAACACGCTTGTCTCCCCGAGATGTCCTCTGTCCGAGCCCCTCTTTACTGCCACAGATACCATTCCTTTCAACTTCCTGGCCTCGAAGTTGACTCGCTGATATGAACCGTCGCATGCCTTTTTTTTTTTTGTTGCCGATCTGGCCGGCTCGGCAGGTTCTATTCGCGGAGATCCCCCCGTTGACGAGAACAAGAGACCAGCTTCAAACTTGGCCGTCTTTGTTCCCATCTCTTTGTTCAGTTTCACAGAAACGATCATGCTCCGTCGTGACCATACCCAGCAATGCAGGCAAGAACTACTACGCCAATGGGAGGAACTGTGAAATATATAAACGTCACGTTCGTCGCCCTTCAGTTCACATTTCGTCCCATCAATGGATAGCCAGTTCAGCTTGACACGCATCCACTGCACATTACAATAGCCTCTCCTTCCATACTCTCTCCTTCCATACTCATTGCCTACGGAATTGTCGGCTCCCCGCTCTCCTTGCCATGTCTCACCCACATTCGGGCAGATGTTCCGGTGCATATAACCCCGGGGATCAAGACAGCATGCGTCTCGATGCCATGGCATCGGATGATGTGCTTGAGCGATACTTCAACCTCGCCGGTTTTCTCCAACACTCCGAGCCTGACCTGCCAGCCGCTGACACCAGCCCCAATGCCGAGGCGAACGATGACTCCCAGAGCGCCGGCCCCCCCAACGTGCTCTATACAGCCGATAAGGGCCACTTTATCCCCGTCGACTTGGGGGGCAATGTCCCTGCCATCCATGTCCCCAGGTGCCCCAGGTATAGGTATCACTACATCCCCGTGCACCGCCCACAAACGCGGAGCCTTCCTGCCACGGTGGGCCCTGTCGGCGATCGGGACTCTCCTGCGGCGTCAAGCTCTCCACAGCCTGATGTTGAGATGTCGGAGGAACCGACGTCTGGACAGGCCCAGGTGAGTGCGAGAAGGGACCCCGATAAGATTGACCCTAAGAAGGTGTACACTGACGAGCTGGTAAGGCCCAAGACTTGGTGGCTGCCCACAATTCCCATCACCATTTTCGAGTACGCGGATAAGAATGGCAACGAGCGTCTCAACAGAAGATTCAGCGCCCGCCAACTCCGGTGGTTCATCGATGCAAACCCCGACCTGACACTTTGGGTCCAGAACTTTGCAGCCCAGGTCGTCAGACGAACGGGAGAATCCGCCTGTCTCTGGGAATGCTGCCCGGCTCCTAAAAAGCAGATCAAGCAGGGCTGGTTCCAGGTGGCATTTGACGAGTTCCCTGCCGAGACAAGCTCGGGCCGTCGGGATCCATTCCAAGTGGCAGGCCACATGCACCTCTACTGCTACGAGCAGTGCTTCGATCCGATATACGACGCGTCCCGCGGCACGCTCAAGCCCGACACCCGTGAGCTCCCTCTGGAAAAGAAGAACCGGATGAGCCTGGCAAAGGAGACGGGCAAGAACATGGTCAGGTATGCCTACGAGCCTTGGTTTGAATCCAGGATATCCGAACTTGAAAGCGAGCCTCGGGAGTTCCCCCGCCCGCAGGCCGAGACGCTGAACAGGGCTCTGGTCGACTACCATCTGAGCCGCCAGCCCAAGGCGCGCCAGCTGGTCCGAAACCAGCGAAATGCGATCAGGGGCGGTAACCCCAGGACCATCGACGTACACAGGGGGGACCTCAAGATGTTCAGCATGGCGAACAGAGGCTTGGGCTGCGACTCTGCCGAGGCCGACTGCCAGTACGGCGAAGATGACCAGTTTCAGGTCGACCCCAGGGCGTTGGAATGCTGGAGGCGAACGACGGGGACTAATGCCAGCAACCTGGATGGACAGTACGTGGAAGAATACATCTCCAGCCAATTCACCGGCTCCTCGCCGCCCTATCCTCTGACGCGGGAAGATCTCTGGGAAGCGTCCCGGCCGGCCACCCCGATTGGCTTCGGTCAGCCCGATGAATCGAACGCGTTTCCCGATGCGAGCTATATGAGCCCTTCGGCGGCCTCCGAGGCGGGCCAAGCCCCGACGGCGACCGGGGTGACGGGAAACGAGTCTTTGTCGACTCTCCAGCAGTTTTTCCAGCCCTCCCAGGGCGGCTTCATGGCATCTCTAGCCAGCATGGGACTGCTGGGCAGCTACGTGCTAGGCAAGCATGGCCGGAATGGCGGGGATTGTGGGGATGACGACGGTGATGGGCAAGGCGGTAATGACCGCAGCAAGAAACCACGCAGGTGAGCGGCTCGTCTCTTTTCTCCCCAAAAGTAGGGCAGATGCTGGCACCTGCCGTGGAAATTAGAAGAGGAGGAGGCATGTGTGAGAGAGTGTGTTCCTCTCATATTCTGGGCATTGGGCAACCTGGCGGCTGAAGGAGTTTTTGGGTTTTGTTCTTGCCTTTGCTGTCGTACTTTCGGTTCTTAACGCTGGGCGATGGATAGACAGCAGAGAGTTTGCTGTCTGATATCGTCCCAATAAAATGATAGAAAAATAAAAATAAAAATAAAAGAAACGTTGGCTCCATATGACGAAGTTCTCGGTATCTGATGAGGGGTGAATGCCGCGCGCCCTTCCCCACTCCCAACCCTCAAAGTTGGGATCAACAAAGACGGTCAAAGATGTGGTGCTAATTCAGGTGATGGCTGCAGGTTGTGGGGTTCTGCAGGATGCTGATGCATGTTAGACACTGCATGTCGCATGTTTCTTGAGTCTAGGGTGCGTCAGCTTCAGTAATATTCTAGTTCTGCTAATACAGGTGCTCGTACAGGTATCGACAAGAGCTGACCTCAGCTAGCGCAGGAGAGAGAGAGAGAGAGAGAGAGAGAGAGAGAGAGATAGAGAGAGAGAGAGAGACAGACGGGAGAAAGGGGGAAGAAAGGGGAAGAGAGGGAAGGAGGCTAAGTCATCGAACTCACCACCACCACCACCAAGCTGAGCGCGTGCGCCCGCTGGCCCCTCGCCCTCCTTCTCTCCCCTTCACTTGACCTTAGTTGACCTTGGTGCCGTCCCTCAGTTCCTCCTCGGCTCTCATTACTCTCTATTGCCTCTCTGCTAATACTACCCGTATTATTGCATCTCCCTCTGTCGGTCTCCCCCGCCACGTATCATATTCGACACATGACTACCACCGCCACCCCGGTCAACATCAACGCCTTCCACGCCCACCTGTGCGTCTATTGCGCCCGACGGCTTACACCCACATAACACACCCACACACACGCCGACGCCGACACGCACCAAAACCCCAACCCGCGTCGCCACCGGTTGGTGGTGAGTCGTGGCTCCACCGAGCTGGGCTGGACGTGACGCAGGACCCGGGCCGGTTAAGAAGCCGAGGGTGCCACCCCCAAGTTGGGAGAAGCCAGAAAAAGAGCAGAGAAGGAGAGAAGATAGAAGCTACGCTCCATTATACCACAGTGACGGGTGCAGAGCAAGGGAGAGAAGCATAGACAGACAGGCGGGTCTGGTTGCATTCACTTATCGGAGCTTATTGCTGCTGAATGACATCAGTTTGCACCTCCACCCCCACACTCCAGATCATACATATTCACTCCATCGCAGGGCTGGGCTGGGCTGGGCTGTCACATAATACATCTACCCTCCAATCGAGAAGGGGGGCAGGGACGAGAGTGTTGGATCGGTCACTCCCCCCCTGAACGAATGAACGGCGGCTGTGGTCAAGGAGGATAAAGAAGGAGACCATGGGCAATGGTGAGGAGCGAAGGCCTGCTGCCCTACACGTCATTGTCTTGGTGAGTTTTTTTTTCTCTCTCTTCATTCCTGGCAGGGGGGGGGTTGCGTATCATATGCATGCTATGACATGGCGAGACTGACTCTATTTTAGGGCCCAGGAGGCGGTCCTCAGGAATCCAACACGACAGCCTTTCTCGTCCGCTCCGTCGGCCAGAACTGGCGTAAGGGTTCCATCATTGCCGTCGATGCTGGAGTTCACCTGTCCGCCATCACGCGCCTGCTGCGCGAATCGATGCCTTCCTCGGTGTCGGTGGAGCCTCCTCACATTCTGACACACGGTCCCTTTGCTGGCCTCTCCCTCCCTCACCGGTCGGCCGATGCCAATGCCGGCTACCTCACCAGCTCACTCATCGAGGCGTGCCTCGTCACCCACCCTCACCTGGACCACATCTCGGGCTTCGTCGTCAACACCGCCGGTCCACCGGGCGCCCGTCCCAAGAAGGTCGCCGGGCTGCCTGGGACCATACAGGCTCTGAAGACGCACATATTCAACAACGTCATCTGGCCCAATCTGAGCGATGAGGGCAACGGCGCCGGGCTCCTCACCTACATGCGCCTAGTCGACGGCGGTAGTCCGACCCTGGGCTCCGGACAAGGCAAGGGGTATGCCGAGGTCTGCGACGGCCTGCTCGTCAAAGTATGGGCCGTCAGCCACGGCCACTGCATAGAGAAGCATAGCCATCGCGGCTCCACATCCAGCGCATCGGGTCTTCACGATCCGGCCCTCCATAGATCGTCATCTTCGCGCCGTGCTCAGGGTTCCATCTCGGCCTCTCAGACGCCCAGACGACACAGTCTCCTCGGTCAGGCTACCCTCGGCAACGCCACCTCTCCTGCCGCCCCACCCCGAACCAGCGCTACAGCTGCCGCCGCCGCCGCCGCCGCCGCCGCCGCCGCCGCCACTGCTGCTGCCAACTCTTCTCCAGTCGACGCAGGGAGCGGTAGCGGTGCCAGTATTGGCGGAGAGCGGGAAGAGATGTGCGTCGTCGACTCGAGCGCCTACTTCATCCAGGAGCAGGAGAGTCACCGTGAGGTACTCATATTTGGCGACGTCGAGCCAGACAGCCTGTCCCTCAGTCCGCGCAACTTTCCGGTCTGGCAGGAAGCCGCCTCCAGGATTGCCGCCGGCTCCCTGGCCGCCATCTTCATCGAGTGCAGCTACGACGACAGCCGCAGCAACGACCGGCTATTCGGCCATCTCAAGCCCATCTTCGTCATCGAGGAGCTCAACGTGCTGGCGGCCGAGGTGGCCGAGGTACGGCACAAGTCTTCTCGCTCCACGGCAGAAGCGGCAGCGGAATCTCCGTGGGGGAGGAAGCGCAAGCGTGTAGTGTCCGATGCAGATGTTGCCGGACGTGCACGCGATAGCCTCGCCGTCGCTGCCGCCGATGAGCCCACATCTCCCAGGACATCTAGGCAGCAGCGGCCGAATGCGGACGTCGCTCCCGGCGGCAGTGACGGAGATGTCGCTCTGCCGCAGCCGTTCCTCGTCCCGCCGCCATCACCACCAATGACGACCCGCGGACAGCTCGCGGGGTTGAAGGTAGTGCTCATTCATATCAAGGAGGTCTTGTCGGATGACCAACCTGATATCGGGGCCGTCATCCTGTCCGAAGTCCAGGGACATGAAAAAGAGGCACAGTTGGGATGTGAGTTTATTGTAGCGAGAGCAGGTCAAAGTTTCTATCTATAGATTCCTCCTTCCGCCTTTTCTTCTTCAAGAAAGAGAAAAGAAACAAAAACCCTGTTCTACTGTTCGCCCTCTTCTTCTCTCTCTTTTTTTTTTTTTTTGCTCTTTATCTTTCTCTGTATGTTCTTTGTATATATCACGGCCGTCTACAAAGGGTTTTTTCATGAAACAAAACAAAGAAGAAAAAAAAAAAGAAGAAAAAAGAAAACCCTCCAGAGATCTTATTTTCATCTCCTCCCTTCTATACTGCCTTCTGCTTTCTACCACTCCGTCTATTTGGTGCTATCCGCGCCCTTACCATATGCCTCCTGGATCTTCTTGTACCCTTCTTCACCGCCTAGATCGTTTTCCCAGTCGAAACGGGGCAGTTCGAATAGATTGTTTGCGCGCGTGTATGTTATGCCGCCGAGACGGCCGACGGGGCGGAGGACCTTTTTACTCGTCAGCTTATATATATATATATATATGAGCGGCGAGCGGAGCGAGGAATGACCTTCCCCAGCAGGGGCCGCCAGAGGCAAGTAACAAGTTGAATAGGAGCATCCAGAGGGCAATGACTTACATTGATATCAACGAGGCTCTTTTCCTCATTAACAGCATCATCGCGGACCCAGAAGCGCAGACCTTCGAGTATGACAACGGTGCCAGACCTCCTGCCGGGGTTGGCGCGGCTGTCATAGTGCTTGATGGTGTCGACCTTGGCCTCGATGCTGAAGACGGCCTCCCTGACGCGGGCCGGGCGGACGGTCTCGCAGTCGGAGGCGGGGTGGAGGCCGGAGACGGCCCACTCGTCGACGCCGTAGGGGGCGTTGACGGCGGCGGCGTTGGCGGCCTCGACGTAGGCCTCGGATATGATGTTGACGACGCACTCGCCGGCGTCGGTCAGGTTGCGCAGCGTATCCTTGGCGGACCCGGCAGCGGCGGCGGAGAGCCCCACGACGAACAGGGGGGGGTCGTGGTTGAGCATGTTGAAGTAGCTGAAGGGAGCGAGGTTGGCGGAGGAGCCGTCGGCGGCGCAAGTGCTGACGAATGCGATGGGGCGGGGCACGATGGACGAGATGAGCAGCTTGTAGTTGAACGCTGCGGGGCGGCCGCGGTCATACGGGTCGATGGATGTGTGAGAGGCCGAGGCTGAGGAGGGGGGGTCGAGGGAGTTGGCGCCTTGGCCCATCTTCCATGACGGAGAGGGCGTCTTGGTGTAGCTCGGGGAGGAGGTGGTGTCGAAGTCGGGGCGGGAGGACTCGACCTTCTTGAAGTCCGGGTGAGGGTTGCGCTGCATCTTGTCGGCCATGGTGAAGGGGCGGACTGGGGTTTGTGGGAGGATGGGGATGGATGAGAGCGGACGTGGACGGATGAGTGGACGTGATAGATGGCCGATGGATGACGGCATGGGGATGGATGACAGTATAGATGCACTTCAAAATATACTGGCAAAAAGTATGGTGTGTTGGTGTTGGTGTTGCTGCGAGTCCGAAGCCGAGGGCGGATGAGTTCATGGTGATATATTGCTACATATAATCTGCATAACGGTTATCGATGGCTGTCGACGGCGCGGAGCAGACGAACGTGCGGAAATGGCCCGGCCGACTGACTGTATGGATCCCCGGATAAAGCGGGGGGGAGGGGGCGTATGTATGTACATGTGACGTTTTAGCCTATGAATTCGGGAATTCGGGGCTGTAGGGTAGGCCAAGAGTTGTGTTGGACCCTTGTTCGACATGTAATTACCTGTCATTTGTATTGAATACTTGGAATTGTTCTTCTGGTGGGCGACGACATGCCATGACCTCTAGACGCTCGTATAGTGGTCTCTCTACCTAGATATATACGTCGATATAGAGATGTAAATGTTTCTACGGAGCAGTTGCTCATATCATCGGAAGGAAGGGAATCAATCTATGAGGCTAATGAAAGTTGTGTGCGCGTGGCAGCAGCCGCTAGCTGCTTAGTCATGAAATAGGTGTAGGTGATAATGTGGTTCTAATGCTGGTTAACAAAATATGGCTGTTAAGACTTGACTTGTCTCCCATTGATAGGAGCCCACGAGAAATCTTGGCTCATGTACATTCATCATCAATGGTGCATATCCATCATCACGGATATACATATGTACTGGAGATTACGATGTCCTTGAACTATTCACTGAATGATGGAATCCATTGTCGGTCCTGCTGCAGGGTAGATGCAATCAAAATACCCACGTGACTTGTACCTGTCTGTACAAGTACGTACGAGTATCAGGAATCTACTCGTAAACAGCAGAGGGGCAGAGGGGCAGCTCCAATCCTCTTTTTTTTTTTTAAGTTAACAGTACATGGTATATTACCTGCACACTTTGGATACAACTACGACGACAAACGACAGAGACCGAAATGCTACTTTAAATCCCCCCCACAATCGTTTCTCTGGTTCGCAGATGGCACCATGGGGAGCGATCCGAAAAATCAGAATCTCCTCTCTCTCTCCTTTGTACGCCCCTCGCACCGGTAGCCTTGGTAGCTGCCGATCAGCTTCGCAACAAGCCCGTCCTAGTCGACCACCACCGCCGACGCCACCGAGGCCATCCAACAAGGACGACGCCCAGTCTCGACATACACAGCAGAGAAACGTTGACCATCGCGCAAGTCAGCTCACCGAGAGACGTCGGCCGCCACCAAAGACGACGGACAGACACGTCCACCGGAAACGGCAATCCATCAAGGACTACTCCGTCATGACCACCGTCGCCCAGCTGGCCACGGTGCCGTCAGCCGACACGCCCCAGACGTGCATCCACGTCCGTCACGACAAGGGCCACTACATATTCGGCCGCATAGCCGAGGGCACCCAGCGCGCCTTCAACAGCCGCAAGCTGGGCTTCGCCGCCGTGACGCAGATCTTCCTCTCGGGCCCGGTGGGCTGGGACCAGATGGGCGGCATGCCGGGCTTCCTGCTCACCATAGCCGGGTCAGTAGGCGCCTCCAGGGAGACGCTGGCGGCCACGAATGCCGAGAGGAAGGAGAAGGGGCTCAAGCTGCTCCCCGTCACCCCGCATGGAGGGGTCCACATCCACGCCGGCCACAACATCGGCCACGTCCTCGCCAGCAGCCGCTCCTACATCTTCCGACAGCCTATCCGCGCCCACGTCTCCGAGCACCGCAGCGATCCGAGAGCCGTCGACCCCTCCAACCTCGAGCCGGACTGGAAGGACGACATGGTCCGCGTCTGGAAGGTGCCCACCACGCGAGAGCGGTCCAGCAGCCCACCGAAGCGCCGTCGCTCGAGCGACGATGCCGAGCAGTGTGCAGAGCACCCGGCCGACGGTGGGGCACCGTCCGATCCCGACGTGGCCAAGATCATCGTCGAGCGCGCCCTGTGGAACGGCGACCTCCAGAGCTACCCGTTCGAGGCCCGCAAAGTGGGCGCCCTCAAGCCCGATGACTCGGCCTTTATAATCGAGAACGGCTCCATCAGGCGATACACGGTCGGCGGCGCGCAGGACGGGGAGGACCCCGAGGCCACGGCCTGGGTGCTCCCTCCCGACGGATCCCCGAAACCGCCTCCGGGCGTCGAGACGCGCAGCCTGGGCCGCGTGTCCCTGCCTAAGACGTCGTACACGCAGACAGCCATGAGCTACATTGTCAAGACGCACGACCGCAGGGGAAAGTTTGACCGCGCGGCCGCCGATGCGCTGGGAGTGCAGCGCAACGACTTCAAGAAGCTGATCGACGGCGCCGAGGTGCAGGGAAAGGACGGCGTCACCGTCACGCCGGACATGGTGCTCGGCCGGTCGGTCCCGGGACGGGGGCTCATCGTCGCCGACATCGCGGGCCCGGACTACCTCGAGTCGTTCATGCAGAGGCCCGAGTGGTCATCCGAGGAGCTCATGTCGGACATCGCCGTCATGTACTGGCTCCTGGGCCCCGGGCTGGCGGGCAACGAGCGGATCCGCAAATTTATGGCCGAGCACGCCGGCGTCAAGCACGTCGTGTGCGCACCCGAGACGACGCCCAACATGGTGTCCAACCCGGGACCGGCGGAGCTGCAGATGAAGCTGCGGCGCGTGGACCCGGATCGGTTCCCGATACCCAAGTACGACAACGCCGTGAGCGCGCCAGCGCCGGGTCCCGACTCCAACATCGAGTTCGGCCGCGCGGGAAAGAAGGTGCAACTCATGCCACGCCTCCTGCACCAGGATGACGCGGTGGCCCCCTTCCCGGACCTGGTGGCGCCGTACAACTCGGTATCGGACGAGGCGCTCAGCCTGGCCAGAGAGGCCAAGGCGCGGGCCGCAGACCCGGCCTTCCTCGCCAGAGTCGAGCGGGAGGAGGCCGACATGCCGAACCGCGACGCCGAGATCGTGTGCCTGGGGACGGGCTCGTCGGTGCCGTCCAAGTACCGCAACGTGTCCGCGACGCTGATTCGCGTGCCGGGTGTGGGCAACTACCTCCTAGACTGCGGCGAGGGCACGATGGGCCAGATCAGGCGGCTGTACGGCGACGAGGGCACGGCCGAAGTACTGCGCAACCTACGGTGCGTGGCCATCAGCCACCTGCACGCGGACCACCACCTGGGGGCCGTGTCGGTCTTCAGATCGTGGTACGAGCAGTCGGTGCGCGACGGCGGCGGAAGCGGCGGGGCGTCCCGGCTGGCGGTGGCGTGCATCCCGCGCTACCGTTCCACGCTGGAGGAGCTCTCACAGGTCGAGGACTTTGGCTTCCACCGCTTGCATTTCCCGGACTCCGAGCGGCTGCCTGGGTCGTCGGTGGACGAGGCCGTGCTCGGCCCGGCCGACCAGCTGTCCTTTGGCCTGCGCCGAGCGCGCCTCATCCCCGTCCGCCACTGCGCTCAGTCCAAGGCCGTCGAGCTGGAGCTCGTCTCGGGCCTGCGCATCGCCTATTCGGGCGACTGCAGGCCCTCGGCCGACTTCGCCGCCGCCTGCCGCGGTGCCCACCTCCTCGTCCACGAGTGCACCTTTGACGACGACATGGCCGACCACGCCCGCTTCAAGCAGCACAGCACCATGTCCGAAGCGCTCGGCGTCGCGAGGGACATGGGCGCCCGCCGCACCCTGCTCACCCACTTTTCGCAGCGGTACGTCAAGGCAGACTCGCTCAGCATGGCCATCGGCGGGGAGAGCGAGGGCTCCGTGCTTCTGGGATTCGACTACATGACTGTCAGACTGGGCGATTTCCAAAAGGCCGCCTGCTATCTCCCCGCGTTGGAGAAGGTCATGGAGAAGATGACGGCTCCAGAATAGGAGGCTTCCAAAAAAAGAAGAAAAAAGTCGTTATTTGAAGCATTGCATTCATCGATATTTGACATGTATATATTAGACCAACAAGAAGAAAAGGGAAAAAAAAAACACAGAAAGAGAAAACAAACAGATACACACGCATGCACATAAACCCAACCGAATCACTCACTCTGCGGTACGGAGAATGGCCGTTATATCGTCCATGAGCGACCTGATAAGGGACGGATACGTCCTTTGTCTCCCGGGGAAGAGCAGGTCATGACGCGGTGCTCGTCCTTGTTCCTCGAACTCTTGCTTCACAGAACCATCTGACCCATCTTGCCTCTCCTGTTCCCGTCCAACGTCCGCACCGTATTGCTCCTGCTGCTGCCGCTCAAGAGAATACAACGAATCTAAATTGCTAGCACGATACGACGGCGGCGGCGGCAGCAGCGGCAGAGGGGCAGCAGCCCTAGGAGGCGGCGTAACAGCAGGGTACTCATCTGCGTGGTGGCGGTGCTCCTCCTCCCCCTCCTTGCCCTCCTCCTCGACGCGAACCCAGCGCGGATCAAAGTTGACCAAGGACGTCAGGCCGGGACGCAAGAAGCGTGGGGGCGCTCCGGACTGACGGTAGGCCGAGCACATGGACGAGGGCGACCCGGGCGGGGGGAAGAAGAGTTCGGAGTCGCGGGCGGCGGTGACGACGGGCGGCGGCACGGCGAGGTCTAGATGGACAGCAGAGTCGTCGGTCCAGAGCAGGCCTTTCCTCCTGTCAGCGACGATGCGATGGACGTACGACCCCACGGCCCTCAGGCAGATCTCGTCCCTGGTGCGCTCCATCAGCTCGGCCAGCTCGGCGACCCGGCGAGCGGCGCGGACCATGGCCTCGTCGCCCATGTGGGCCAACCACGCCCAGACGACCCTGTCGAGGGGCGGGGATCGACCGGTGTCCCTCTCTCGCGTGACGCTCCCCAGACGCAGGTCGCGGTGGCACCTGGCGCGTATGCTCGCGGCCAGACCGACGAGGAGGCTCACGCGCCCGCCCACGACAGCGCAGATGCACGCGTCGCAGCCGCCGCGGACGACGCGGCCCCCCCCAGCCTCGGGCTCGTCGCGGCCGTAACGGCCCGCCAGCTCGTCCGCCTCGCCGATCCAGTCCGCCAGGGGAGCGCACAGGTTGAGCCTCGTGGGGGGTCGCGCCGCCGCCGCCCACCGCTGACGGAACACCTCGCTGCGCTCCGCCACCTCGTACCGTATCAGCCGCGACAGCTGCCCGATCACGCGGGCGTTCAGGCTCCTGTGCCAGGGGCACAGCGTCGCCGTCGCCGTAGCCGGCTCCCGGAACCCCAGCGGGAGCGGCAGGCGGCGGTAGAGCACCGCCGCGATCCGGTCTCCCATGTCGGTGCTGTGGCGGACGCTCGGGTCAAGTCCGTGGATGAGCAGGGTCTGCCGCTCCAGCCAAGCCTCCTGCGCCGCTCTGCCGTCCGACAACCCGTCTGGCATGCGGAGCGTTCGGGACAGGCTGGCGACGGTCGGGGAGGACAGGCCCGAGACGGCGTGGCCCGTCGGGCAGGGTGGTGGGTTGAGGATGACGTCTGTCGGTCGGCCATGTAGATGTGGGTCGTGGTGGGGAGCCATGTTGGGGGCCATATGGGATATCCGAAGGGGGGGAGGGGAAAGGTCAATTGGGGCAGAGCATGCTGGTGGGCAATGGCAGGCAATACTGTCCCCCTCTCTCTGTCTCTCTCTCTCTCCCCCTTAGGCTGGGTCTTTATATCTTCTATGAAGTCGTACACCTAGTATGTATACGATCCAGTGCTTGCCAGTGGCGAGGCAAACGAGGCAAACTAGCAACTCCATGCAGTCGAGCAATTCATCCTAGCATCTACACACCTCTCTACAAGACCATAGGATTGTACATGGCCAAGGACCAGAATTCTTTGGTGCCCTCGTCAATGTTGATCATTAGGGGATATGCAGAGAAGGAGAGCGAGAAAAGGTCAAACATGCGTCCTCCCATGCTTGCACCCCATATCGACAACTCGATATATTGCTCGTCAATTGTTCTCTCTGCCACCATGTGGCCGTCCATAGAATATATAATTATAATGAGAGGACAGAAGAAGACATGTTGTAAGAGATGTCCCGATAGGATGTGCAGCATATAACACACAAAAGGTAAGAAAGATGTAATGTCCTAGTAAAAAGAAACAAGAGGAAGAAGAACAAAACACCTACACCCGGCGAGAGCAAAGAAGGAGAAACTTCCCCCGAGTTCCGGTCCCCATAAAACTCCTATCCTCATCCCCTTCTCTCTCTTGCGAGCATTATAAGAAAGACAACCAAACCCAAGAATTCGATCAGAATAAACCCCGTCATCATGTTTCCCATTTGCCCTTGTTTTTTGTTGTTGTTGTTGTTGTTTCCCGTCACAATATGTTTGCTGTTCGTCATGTTGCCAAAGTTTGCCCAATATTCTCAAAAAAAGGAAAGAAAAGCGATCAACCTCACTCGCCATCCGCTCACCCCAGTTCCCTCCGCTTCTGATATGAGGGGCGGGGTGAGAGAGAGGGGAGGAGGTGTATCACGAATATGACGGTGCCTGACTCCTCATCATCCTCTCTAGTCGGATCTTGGCGGCTTCCGTACCGTCATCATTGTACGCCATCTCCTTGAACCAGGCGTGATTGAGGGCGTCGCGGGCCGTGATGCGTAGGCTTGGATCGTAGACAAAAATCTTCTTGAGGAGGTCGTGAAAGTTTCTGAGGAAAGTGTTGTTGGGCGGGATGACGTCCTATGGGCTCTGTTAGGAAGAATTCTCCTCTCCTCATTTCAGAGATCTCGCTTCATCTTTCAAGCGCATCACGGTGATATCGAGAGGGGAAAGACGTACATCGAGATGCTTCATAGCCTTGACAAATCGGCGGGAGCCCCTGGTCGTCTCGGCGTTGGGATAGTCTAGCTTTAGACGTTTGAAGTACCTGGAGAGTGTCAGTAAGATGATAGGATGGAGAAGATCTCTCTAGAAAAAAGGCCCCGTACTTTGATGCACTGTTGCTGCTATTCCTGCTGGAGGTCTTGTTGATATTCTGAACGAGATGCGTGTCGATGCGCCTTCCGACAACGGCCTCCATCATGGCCAGGTGCTCGAGGTTGTCGTGCGTCTGGAAGAGGGCGTCTCCGGTGAAGAACTCGACAAGGATGCAGCCTATGCTCCAGATGTCGCAGGGGTACGACCACCCGAGGCCGAGGATGATCTCGGGGGCGCGGTAGTGGCGCGTCGACACCACTGATGAGTGGTACTCGTCGTCAAAGGTGGCCGAGCCAAAGTCGATGAGGCGGATCTCCGTGTCGAGGAGGACGCGACGCTGGGTGGCACTGCGGCTGATCGTCGTCGACGACGACGGTATCTTCCTGTTGTACGTAAAGGTCTGGTACTGGTTGTCGCACAGCAGGATGTTCTCGGGCTTCAGATCTGTGTGTATCAGGTTGAGGTCGTGCAAGAAGGCGACGCTGGTGAAGAGTTGGCGGGCGAAGCTCTGGATCTGGCTGTTGGGGAAGGGCACGAAGCCGTTTCCCTTGAGGAAGTCGAAGACGCTCTGGCCCAAAAGGTCCATGACGATGCAGATGTGGCCCCGGTAGTCGAAGCAGTCGCGCAGGTGGATGCACCGGTTCCGGTTCTCGTCGTCGTTGGCCTTGAGCGTGGCCAGCACGCGCAGCTCGATCCTCGACGCGTCGCGGTACTTTTGCACCGACCGGATGATCTTGACGGCGACGGCCTTGCCACGTCTGCGATCGTGGGCCTGGACGACCTTGCCGAACGTACCTTGGCCGAGCAAGCGTGAGATTTGGTCTGGACGAGTCGGTCAGCAGTCGTTCATCATTCGTCGTCGGAACGGACCAGATGGAGAGGAACATACAGCGCTCGGTGAGCGGTGCGTCAGGGACGACGATGTAGTGACCATCGTCGTCGTCGACATTGACCTTCTTAAGGTGAGGAGGCTGTGGGAGTCAGCATTCTGTTCTCACTGCGGTACAAGGAAGACAACACAGCGGTCTCTCGTCTCCCCTCCTGCTCTCTCTCCATCGGAAGAGCAGTACGGATGAAGAGACAGGAACGGAGTGAAGGGAAGGGTAAGGAGAAATCAATTCAAACTCACATCGGCAACGGTCCGAACGGTGACATCCGAGGCCTTCTTGGGAGGATAAGGCGGGGGTTTGTAGGTGAGGCACCGCGTCCCGAGTATGTCCGTGTCCCTGCGCTTGGCCTCGTTGGCAACCTGCTGGCGGGTGCGTTTCCTCTTGAGGGTGTGGCTGAGGTCCTCATGCTGGCTGCTGGACGACAGCGACGTCGGGGCTGTGGTGTTCAGAGCGGAACTTGCACCGTCGCTGCTGGATACGGTGGTCGCGGCCGTGGAAGAGGCGGCGACGGGCGTGTGGGTGTTGGACGAGCCGCCGGAACCGGGGCCGACGTACTGGATGTGATAGCCCTGGCCACCGGCAGCAGTAGCCTGTGACGAGGACGGGGGGAGACCGGGATCCCTCCTGCGCTTCTTGGCGTAGGGGCCTCCGGGGTCGGCGGCGGACGACGAGGTGGTGACGGCCGAGGAGGCGACCTGGTTGCTGGGGCCAGCGGCGGCAGTGGCAACTTTGCGACCGGTATTGGCGGTAGGTTGCGTTGCAGGCTCGTCATCGTCGTCGATGACGATGATTTCATCGGGGAGACCATTGCGGTAGAAATCCTGCCAGTCCGGACCGGTGGAGCGTCGGCGCTTCCTGGCTGAGTGCTGGTCGCGGCTGTTCTCGGCCATGTTATCTGCCGAGGAGGAAGCGGCAGCGACAGCGGCAGCGGCAGCGGCGGCGGCAGTGGCAGCGGCGGTGGCAGCGGAAGCGGAAGTAGGGTATTGGTGATGGTGGTGGTGGTGTTGTTGCTGTTGCTGTTGCTGTTGCTGTTGCTGTTGCTGTTGGGTCTGCTGCTGCTGCTGCTGCTGCTTCTGTCGTATTATCGCGTTTCGTCCGTGGTCGTAATCTTCCGGGTCGTTCTGGTGATTATGATGGCTGTGATTCTGATGATGATGAAGGGTGTTGTGGGGAGGAGGTCGTGGTGCCGAGGGTTGTTGGGCCACGACGGCGTGGGTTGTGGGCGATGACGAGTCGAAGCCAGCCAGCTGATACAGGCCCGCGGTCGTCGTCGTCGTCGTCGTCGTCGCGATGGTGGGTGTCAAGGGTGACGAGGCCCCTCCGGCGGCACCAGCAGCGAGACGATAGCTGGCCGAGGAAGCCGGACGAGGCTGATGGCTTTGATGGCTCTGGTGGGCGGCGTAGGACGGAGGATGCTGGGGATGGGGATGACGATGGGGTTGGTAGCGAGGGAGCGTGGCCACGGCCGTGGTGGGCGTAGACATGCTCTTCGATGGGGCTTCCCAGGAGGGAGGGAGTTATCTCAAACGTGAATGACGATGACCAAGATTGAAGTCAGTTATCGTGACGAAGAAGGGAGATGGATGAAGAGAGAGAAAAAAAAAAGAGTGTGAAGGTGCGTGCGTATGTGTGTGTGTGTGCGTGTGTGTCGGTTTTTTTCCTGGCCCTTGACCTTGGGGCAATATTACTCTCTCACTCACTTGACGGGTCGTCAGGTCAGAGAGAGGAGAATGTAGGAGGAGCGGGTGGATTGGAGGGCTCAGCGTCTCTCGGTCCCGGGCTCTACCAGTGAGGCTAAGAGGTCCCATCTCTCTCACTCAGCAGTTCCCACAGCAGTTCCCTCAGCAGTTCCCTCAGCACTTGTTCCCTCGCTCAGCCAACCGTTTCCCGTCATCCGTCTGCGTGGACGGACTGTCCTAGTTAGCGGTGATGGAATGGATGCCCCGGGCACCCAAGTCCCCAAGTGCCAGGACCTACGGGGGCCGTCTCTCCCAATCTACAGCGCACATTTCGAGGTCTCGAGGGCTGTCAGCACCGACCCTCCACCGTAGACACCATCGCCTCCAAGGGTCCCCCCCCTAGGTGCCCCTCAGCCATGCTGGGGCGTGCGTGCAGCAGCGCAGCCTGCAGCACGCCCGGTAGATGGGCGTCGCGCACCCGCAGCGCCGGGCAACGCGCACCGCAGCGCACGGTACAGTCCTGGGGAGCACACGCACCCGTACAATCCTGCTCCGTCTACAGAGTATATTGATGTAGAGGATTATATGCATCTTCCGTATCAATCCGTACACGTACCGCTCCCTGCAGCACCGAGAAAGCAACTCTACGCTTGACAGTAACGTGCGGCAAGGAGGGCCTCCAGTGGCTTGGCGGCCGCCACCACCAACAGGGCTCTTCCATGGACGGCACGCCTGTACCTTGAGGCGGGTGATGGCCTGGACAGACGGCCGCCATCCGTCACTCCGTCACAGGTGGCCTTCAGCGGGGAGGGTGCCTGTATTTTCGGGCAACCTTCCATCTTCCTGCCTGCCGACCTGCCTGCTTCCTGTCCCCCTCCCCCCCCCCCCCCCCCCTCCGTATCAGCCCTGCCATCTCCCATCCTTCCGTCCCTCTCCTTCTAATGACCATTATAATCCAAATTCGGCTTCCAGGCAGAATAAATCACCTGTTTTCTTCCTCATCCAAAAGAGGGGGGCGGGGCGACATGGAGCGGCCTGCTTTGCGACGGTGGTGGTGTGCGGCCCTCTCTGCCCCCCCTCCCCCCGGACAGGGACCAATACCGCTAGCTAAGACGGGTCAGTTTGGGGCCTGGCTCGGGTGGCGGCCAGTTGGTGGTGGAGAATGTACGCACAACCATGACGGAGCATGTTCAGGCCGACGAGTCTCTCTCCCTGTTGGGTGTTATTTTCCACACACGCACGCACACACGCACACTCTCTCTTCTCTGTATCACCATTCTCCTCTTTTTTTTCTTCTTCCTTTTCCTGTTTGTCTTTCTCGCCTCTCTCAGTCCATGCTATGTGGAAGTGGAGAAAAAAAATGGAGAGTAGAAAAGCCTGAGTGCATGTGCAGCGGAACGAGTTCCAATCGCTCTTGGAAGGCGGTACACAGCGACGGTATCTGCTGGGATCTACTGGATCCTTCCCTAAGTCGCAGGTCCCGAGTGGTACCCGACAGACGTCAGTGGCCAGGGAAGTTGGCCGTGGCCACAGTGACGGGATTTGCTGTTGCTATCCGTACATACGAGCATACTCTTTACTGCCATCACTTCCGAGCGCAACCTCTGCTTTCCATCCAGAGCCATCACGACGTACCGTGATGCTAGAAATAACATTCAGTGCTACCGTTACTGTCCATCTTCATACAGTTGATACAGATAAGAGCACTGCAGACTTGTAATGGTGGCCCGTGATGTTGACGACCGTGACCATGACCTACGAGTACACCATCTACCCTCCCCCCCTTCACTCTCCTTCTCTCTCTATCTGATGACAAATGTTTTATATTCCCCAGGCATCCACCCATCCATCCTACCTGTAAATGGTAATAATACTCCGTACTCTGCTGACTACGTACTCGTCGTACATGTACTCGTAGTGCATTCGCTCCTGGAGAGGGAAAAAAAAAGTAATGATACCAATGTCTCGAAGCTTTCTCGGAGCCCACAGTATTAGTATCTTTCCTTCCCCTCCTCTCCTCTATGATGACCGAGGCCAGACATGCGTGGACCCCCCCCCCTCCAGGTGCAGACGTCTGTCTGGCCGCTGCAGTGCTTGACGAGTCCCACCAGTCGTCGTCTGCATACGACTAGACTATACCTGTACGGAGTAATATCAGAGTATCGCTCCGGAGAGGCATAGTAATACTGTTATTACTCTCTACATGCTATTGTCATCACTCGTACTCGTATGCAGGTAAATATAGAGAGAGTCCCTGGCTCGTCTCCAGTCTCGTAGTCTCACTCTGTTACTGATGCAATGGCAGTGATGTGACCAGCACAACCAGCACGGCCCATGCAGATGACGTGTTGGAGAGGCATTCGACGTGTTCGTTGCAATCCGACGAAACCCACAGAGAAGGAGGGCACATTGGTTATTACTGTTTCCATCCAACAGGGTCGCTCGCAGCCCCGAGAGTAAGAGTATATATGATCTGGATCGATACCATGCTCTCACCCTTTTCGTGTCCAATTCTCCCGCGCGGTCATTCTTGCGGGGGTGGCATGGATGCGACGGTAATGAATGTTACAAAGTCATCGGAACGGTAGCAGAGCCGAATCCTGATTGTCAGAACCCGTGAATTGTTTCATGCATCTCCTACGGGCATAGTGCCTACTAGGCTATATACTATTACTAGCACTGCGTCGTATCATTTATCAAAGGTATGCTGTGACTACTCACCACCATATTCCCAACAACACGTGAGCAGACACCATCGATACGGGAAAGTGTTTCTGGCCTGTACAGGTACGAGCATCTGTCATACAGCTGTGAGCCAGACAGGATAAAAGAGAAGAAGGGAGGTGTGCGGAGAAAAGAGGAAATGAAGGAGAAGGGGAGAATTTTTTTTTTAAATTTTTTTTACATGTATATGCAAACATGAGTACATCTACAGACCACGGTTAAACACCACCTTACCACCGACGCCACCCTTCCCGTGAAACTCTGGCTCCAGGCTGTCGGCGCTGATCTCCTGGTACTGCGGGAAGACGGCGAGGGCGAGGGGCAGGGCGACAAAGGACGTGGCGGCGATGAGGCCGAGGTTGATGGAGATGGGGATGGCCATGCGGGCCCGGGGCCTGTGCTGCAGCCACGCCCTGCCCATGAGCCTCCGGTACCACGCCTGCTTGGTCTGGATGTGGTAGAGGGCGAGGGCGGGCAGGATCATGATGGGGCTGTTGTTGAAGACGCGGCTGGCGGCCGTCTCGCCCACGGCCAGCCTGGCAGCCGTCCGGCTGCGGCCCAGGGAGGGCACGTCGCGCTCGGACCGGCCCTCGGCCTTGATGGCGTCCTTCTGCTCCTCCGACAGCACGGGCCGTACGTCGATGCCCGTGGCGATCTCCCCCCTACGCATGAGGTACACGTTGAGCGCGCCGGCCGTGGCCACGGCCGCGAACGGCACCAGCCGACCCAGCACGTTGCGCGCGTTCTGCGACACCTTGAGCTTCGGCACCGCAGCGTTCAGCCCCAGCGCCACCGAGCACGAGGCACCCACCGCCACGAAGTACGACTTGACCATGTCCGACGTCGTCATCGGGGACGACTTGTTGGCGTTGGAGCTGTTGATGGCCACGTTGAGCGACTGGTTGGCCACCTGCCATGCCACCGTGCCCACGGCGCCCAGTCCGGGCTGGAGCATGCCCGCCGTGACGATCAGGTTGGACAGGACGAAGCTCGACATGCGGAAGGGGAGGAAGACGGGTTCTCCCGTGTCTGATTTGGTACGGAAGTCAGCATAACCGTGGCCTTTCCTTCCCCGATATCCCTCATCTCTCATCCTATTGCCATATATATATATATATATATATGTGCGTGTGTGTGTATCCATCCCATTCTCGAGTGTTCGTACCTGGGTGAAGCGTCGAGTCGACCACCTTCTTAGCGTGCCACAGCTCCGGCGTCATCTCCTGCCTCTTGCCAGTCTTGTACTCTGTCACCAGAGACTTGGCATGCTCGAGTCCCTTCTTCCCCGCAAGCAGCGTGCTGACGAGAAAAGGGAAAGAAAAAAAAACCATTGTCAGCAAACCGAGATCAATCCGCAATACATGCCAGTTATCTTGTTCCGAAGCCGGAATGAGTGCAAAAAAAAAAAAAAACACACCTAGGATCCGTAACGCCCACCGTATGCCGAACCCGACCCCAGTACGTGTCCAGGTCGTATCGTGACGCCGGCAGTTCGCGATTCCCCGGTAGTGAGGACGACATGGTAAAACTGCTGCCGGGCCACACACACACACACAGAGAGAGAGAGAGAGAGAGAGACTTGTCGGTTCGGTCGGATGTAGGAATGTAAAACGAGGGGAAGAGATATCCGACGGGAAAGGGAAGCTCTGATGAGGTCAATTGGTCGGCGCTGGCTTCCGAGCGGTCAGGATTAGGATGTCGCTGTCGGGGAGAGAGCTGCTTCTGGACGAGGAGACGAAGAGAGAGAGAGAGAGAAAAAAAAGGCGACGATAAGCGCCGGTTTCGGCTCTGATAGTGCACCCAGGGTCTAATATACGCTATGGATCACAGCTATAATAATACGACGTAACTACTGTTCAGCAAGGAACCTGTTTAGATCTACTTTCACTATATCATCTTCTCTCGTACCTCTATGCAATTATTTATCCCAAAGGACTGTTTGCTGCGTTTTGTGTATCGCAGTCGGGGCCTTGTTTTCTGAATCTTTCAATCCCCTGTCACGTGTATCACCGATCCGATGCCCGGACCCGCCTTCATCAAAGACTCTGGATGTACTTTGACTCCCTTATGATTGTCGACTCGACGAGTGTGTGTGAAGGCGAATGCGTGCATATGTTGAAAGGTTGAGGGTTGAGGAAAGGAATCGGAAGAAGGTGGGGGGGGGGGGGGGGGGGGGGGGGGGGGGGGGGGGGGGGTTGGGTTTGATGGTCGATTCATTATTAGTGGGTGGGTCGACTTTACTCCCGTAACGCCTGTGCCATTATGCCAATGATATCACTCTCGACATCCCGCTGCTCGTGCCAATCGTCCAACTATCAGCGACCGCTCCCAACTGCCTGACCCTTCCAGGCATCTGAAGCTGATCTGGGAGCTGTCGAGACTGTCGTCGCAACCGACAAACGAATACAGGGTCTTTGACGGCCACGAATGCCGGTGTCGCAGTCATGCTCTCCATCCTGAGAAAGGCGCGTCTCAAGGACAAGGAGATGCGAATTCTCATGCTGTATGCTTTCATTCTCGGCCTTGCATCTGCTGCGTGGCACTCATGGTTGACATATTCAAGTGGCCTCGACAATGCCGGAAAGACGACCATTGTCAAGAAGATCATGGGAGAGGACGTCAACACGGTGAGCCCGACATTGGGCTTCATCATCAAGACGATAGACTACGATGGGTGTGCTTTCTCTCTCCCTCCCCCCCCCTCTCCCTCTCTCCCTATCCCCCTCTCTTTGCATGCTATGAGGATCCAGTAGCTTACGCCCGCGCGCCAGATACAAGCTGAACATCTGTACGAACCGCACCGGACACCGGTGAGAAGAGGGGGACGCGTGAACATGCTGACGGAACATGTCTAGGGGACGTGGGAGGCCAAAAGACGCTCCGGTCGTACTGGAGAAACTACTTTGAAAAGACGGATGCGGTGATATGGGTTGTCGATGCGACGGACCGACTGCGTATTGACGACTGTCGAGACGAGCTGCAAGGTCTGCTGCAGGAAGAGGTGTGGCTTTTTTTCTCTCCTGTTCTCTTCCCCTCCGTATCCGAACAAGGATGAGCCAGATACGCGGTCTGAGGCTGATGGACGATATACTATGGAAAACAGCGACTGGCTGGAGCTAGCTTGCTCATATTTGCCAACAAGACGGATGTGGAGGGTTGCATGCCTGAAGAGGAGATACTATCGGTAAGCCCTCTCCCGCTCTCTGTCCCTGATCTCTACGTCCTCTGCCCCGCCCCCCTCCCTTCTCCCATCTCTGCCTGCCCCCCCCTCAACGTCTTTTGTTGACATGTGAGCAACAAAAGGCCCTTCAACTCGAGTCGATACGAACACATCAGTGGCGTGTGCTACGATGCAGCGCCATGACGGGCAAGAACCTCACCGAGGGACTGGCGTGGGTGGTGGCTGATGCTAAGAAGCGTTTGTTTCTGTATTAGCCTCTCATCTTTCCCTATCTTTTTTTTCTCCTCGTCGTTTTCTTTTCCTTGGCAGATGTCAATGGCAGGTAGCAGAAGATAGGCTGAAGGGGAGATGTTGAAGCATATCATCTCAAGCGAAGCCCATTGGAGGAGGCTCTCAAGTGCTTCTTAATGCTTGTAGAGAGGATGGGCCTGATAATACCACGACTCGTACACCGTCCGTGGTTGCTGTTAATGGATGATTAATCAAGGGAGACGCGGGGTCAATAGGTACGAAGCGTGGGACGCGTGATTCGAGGGAACAAGTAAACAAAACAAACAAAAAAGAGGGGTTTATTATTTTTTTTTTTTTTTGGGGGGGGGGGGGGGGGGGGGGGGGTTGGGGGTTAGTATCATAGATTGAAATGCATTGTACGAGTATGCATTGCGCATTGTCTGTCTGAAGTCTGGTCCCTTGGGAGTATTGTTGATTTCCTATCTGCACGGCTCTCTCGACAACGATCATGGTGAATTCGTGCAGAGTACAGATATTACTCTCACGACTGTTTATGGCTGTCATGATGGACATGCCCAGCCGGGATCACGCATATCGATCCTTCCTGTACAGATTACATAATACCAATGATAGCTGTACTTCTACCGCCTGCAGGTCTCCCGCGGTCGCAGCCCAGAAAGTGCATCCATATGTACCCGAAGCTTGGCCTGTTTAGCAGTGCTACCGACGTGTAGGCCGCTCATGTCGTGCTGACAATGTGAATACCCATAATAATACTTCGTACATGACTGACCCCCTGTCCTCAGGCCTCTTTTCCAGCCGCAAGTGCTGTCTGTCACTCACACTGGTAGAGTCTACTCCGTCCAAGTACGTATTATTATCCCACTACTCCGGAAGGATCGATAATGCCTACTGCAGAAAAAAATAATAATAATACAACATCGTCACTCCTGTTCCCTCCCTCCCTTCCTACCTTCTCTCTTCCCTGAATCTCCAGCCTTCACGCCGCAGAAGCCAGCCATTGTGACGACACTGCACGGTTGGCAGCGCCACCTCGTCGATCGGATACGCAAGGCCCTCCTCCCCCCCCAAACGAAAGCAATAAAAACAGAAGCGAACGACACCGCGTGTGTGTGCGTATGTGTGTGTGCGTGTGTGTGTGTGTGCGCGCGCGTGTCAGCATCTAGACATCGGAACAACCACCACCAGCCTGCCAAGCCAGCCATCATGTCCGACGAAGTATCCCAGTTCCTCGAGTCGGTCGAGCGTCTGCGAGGTCAACAGATTGAGGAGGATGAGGTCCGCACGAAGGAGCTCGAGGACTATCTAGCTGCCAAACGGGAGAGACAGGCAAGGAGACAAGGTGAGTTGGTCACTTTTTTTTATTTTTTATCTTTTATATTTTTCAGTCCTACTGTTCCATCGTTTGTTCATGCATCAGCCAATGCTGGGTCTCGTCGTTGTTTCAAATGACGGCACATGCGTACGGTGTAGTTTCCATCTCTTTGTTTCTTTCCTCGCCTCCGCCTCCCCTCCCCTCTCTCCCCCTGTCACGTATAATTCTGCCGGCTGCCTTTCACCTAGCACTTGTGTGTCTTGCCAGCTGTGCCAGCTGTCTAGGAATCGCACTGCCTCTCTCTTTTCCTTTTCTCTGATCTTCTCTCTCTCTCTTTGTGTTATCCTTTGCATACTCACTCCGTGCCACACAACGCGCGACATGGCCACCATCTGCCCTCGCCCTGCCCTCGCCTTGCCCACCTGCCACTGACATTCCTGCTTGCCTCTTCTTAGAACGCGCAAGGTCCATTTCACCCCAGAAGCCGTCTTCGTCGTCATCAGTCGCCAACACGCCCTCGCCTCGTTCTAGCATTCAGGCCCCTCGTACCGGAGACACCCCGAGGCTTGACTCGCCTACTGTTAACCACGACGCCATGGCCAGCCTCACATCGGGCTCCTCCTCCCCCAGCAAGGAGAATGTCTCACCGTCCGACTCCGACTTCAAGACCACTTCCTCGCCTGCCCCCCTCACCAGGTCCTCCACCTTGCCTTGGCAGCAGAGGCGGCCCGTGTCGCGTGGTAATCCGCGTCCGCTGAGTCTCGTGGCCGCCCAGAACGCCACCCAGAGGTCCTCCGCCGTCACCCAGGATCCGTTGCCCACCACTGTCGAGCCTGAACCCGAGACCCAGCCGGAACCTGAGTCGGCGCCGTCGCGGGATCAGATCTCTCAGAGCCTCGGCTCCGAGGATCCTGCCTTCTTCCGTCAGACTGCCGACCGAGGTCAGTCCTCGGCTGCCTACGGGCGTGACCAGGTCGAGTCACAGGATCGCTCCGACGCCGCCGTCGGCAGTGCTCAGCTGCCAGGCATGTCAGCTTCCCTCGGCGAGAGGTCGCCGTCCATCTCGAGTACAGGCACGAGCACCCCCCAGGGGAAACTTGCCGCGCCCTTCCCCTTGACTCTGTCTCGCCCCGATGCCACCGCAGAGGACACGGCTCCCGTCGACGACGTCGTCAAGTCGCCCGGCCGCACGTCCCCGACCCGCTCCGGATCACCCACCAAGGGCATGGGCGGCTTCGTCCAGAGCGCCATGATGAAGAGGACGGACAGCGTGAAACGCTGGAGCGTCCAGAGCCCGCCTGGCCTCGCTCGCGTCGACTCGGTCGCCGCGAATCGTAGCAGCTACGGACGCCCCAGACCCAAGAGCTTCGTCCGTCCCGAGACGTCCAGAACGCCCGACACTAGCAGGCCGGCGTCCGTTGCCTCGGAGAGCAGAGAATCCGACGCCGGCGCCGACGACTCCACCCCCAAGGCTGCCGGCTCGCCAGGCTTGGAATCCAGGTCCGGCACATACGACGACGGGCGGAGCGTTCCCTCCAGCCCCTCCAAGACCATGGAGCCCAGGCGGTGGAGCCCCACGAAGCCAACTTGGCTTGACAGTGCCCTGAACAAACCGGAGACGCCCAAGTCGCCTACAAAGCCGCATACGCCGACACAACCCTCGTGGATAGCGGATCTCAACAAGACAAGAGCCGAGCGTTCTGGGACTGCGGAGAGCGGCCATGGCCGAGCAGGTTCCGTGTCGGGACACAGGCACCAGGTCAGCATTGGTGGGCTTATGAGATCTTCACCGATGGGCGTGGGTGTCAAGCCGAATACGACCGACCTCGGAGGTATTTATTCACCGCCTGCGAGGGGTAACAGGCCCGAATTCGGCCACGCCTCCAAGCCGAGCCTGTCGAGCCCCATTGCCTCGGGGGCACCGTCCTCTGCAATGTCAACAGTGCAGCCGGAAGAAAAGTCACCGACCAAAGAAGCCCCCACCCCCAAGGACCCGACCGTCGAAGCAGAGGTTGCTGCCCCCAAAGAGAAGGAGGAAGATATGTCAGCGCCTGCTCCGGCCCCGGAGGCCGCGACCAGCCCGCTGTCGGTGCCCAAGCCCACCCCCAAGCCCACGCCAACGCCCAAGCCTGAGGCGCCTCCCAAGATGGACTTCCGCTCCAACCTGAGACAGCGGCCCGTGGACTCGGGGGCGGACAAGCCTGCCGAGCCCGAATTCAAGAATGCCCTCGGGAACCTGAGGCGCGCCAGGACGCAGAGCTACGTCGCCCCCGACGAGCTCAAGGACAACATCCTCCGCGGCAAGGCCGGTCTCAACCTCACCGGAGGCCCGAAGAAGACCGAACGCAAGGACGAGTTCAAGGAGGCCATCCTCAAGAAGAAGGATGACTTTGGCAAAGCGCAGGCCGACGGGAAAGGCATCAAGAGGACACCCACCGGCAGCAGCAGCAATGACCCTGTCCCCGAGGGACTGGCGCGCAGGGCGCAGCTGGGAAAGCGAGCGGGATCTCGAGACGAGACGGCGTCAAGCCCTGGATCATCTTCGGTCACGTCGCCATCCGCCGAGAGCCCTGAACTGTCAGAGAGGTCTCTGCCCCCGTCGAACTCCCAGGGAGCCGTGTCCCGCCCCAAGGGCCTCGGCCTGAGAGGGCCCAGCCATACCATCAGCGGTGGCAGTGCCCTGCCCGGTCGCGTGGGCGGAGGGAAGCTTGCTGACCGCTTCAACCCTGGACTGGCCGGCATGCTCGCTAGAGGGCCTCCCCCCATGGCGGTGGAGGGTGGCAAGAGCTCATCCGACCCGGCTGCCAGCACTGCTTCTGATGAACCGCCCAAGCCCGGTCCGTCGTTGACGCACATGACCAAGGCGCGAGCGCGCGGCCCTAGACGGAAAGCTCCCTCGTCTACTGTGCCGACATCGAAGAAGGCACCCGCCACCGCAGAATCGTCTAGCCAGCCGGCTGCCGAGCTCGAGACGATCGTGGAGAGCAAGCCTGCGTCTATCCCTACGCCCGACGAAGTCGAGAAGGAGCCCGAGGAAGTCGGGAAGCCGCCGGGTGCGGGAAGAGACCAGCAGGAGGTCACGGCCTCGGACGAGGGCACCCAGCCGACTGGAGACACACCTGCACCCATCTCCATCCAGCAGCAGGTCGCTGCCGTGGCCGCCTCACGGGGCAGACCGGCGTCGGCGTCCACCAGCCCTGAACGCAAGCCTGTCAGTCCGCCTTCCCCCATCAGGCCCCAGAAGACTGGCGGTGCCGGAGAGGCTTCCCAGCCTAGCTCGCCCAAGAAGCTCGACGTCAAGCGCATATCCAAGTTTCTGGATGGGTCGTCGGTGATAAACAGCAGCCCGAAGCCTGAGCCACCGGCCAAGGACACCCCCCCATCCCGACGAACAGGGTCGACGTCCCCGTTCAAGGCAGAGAAGAACCTGCCCGCCGCGCCCGCTGTCGATGTCGCTTCTAGGATTGATGCTGCCATGGCCAATTCATCGTCTCCGTCGCCTACTCCTGCTCCCAGGCCTCAGTTCTACTCACCCGGCAATGCTGGCCCCGGCCCGAGCGCACTGGAGAGGAACCGCCCTCCGACGATCGAGACCCGCCCGCTCCCGCCCGCTCCTAGCAGCGACGCAAACGCCGCGTCACCTGTCGTCGATACTCCTGCGCGGTCCCCCTCGAAGCAGACGAGGGAGGCGTCGTCGCTCCTGACCGAATTCTTTGGGCCGGCTCGCCCTACAAAGAGCTGCAAGGTTGACCCGGCGGCGCTCCTGTCTGCACGCCCTCAAGAGGCTGGTGAGACCAAGACCCTGAGCTGGCAGATGGCGCAGATTGGCAGCGATGGGAAGAAGTCTGCCGTGCAGGCGCATAATGCGCACACGCTGTTCGAGAAGGAGATGTACATTGGCGCGCACGAGTTCACGGGAGCGAACGGGAAGAAAGCGGTGCACGTCTTCTTCTGGGTGGGTGACGACGTGCCGTCGTCGACGGCCGAGGACACGCAGCTGTTTGCGCAGCGCGAGGCCCGGTCGCTGGGTGGCACGCTGATCAAGCTGCGCCAGGGCAAGGAGACGGGCGAGTTCCTGCAGGCTGTCGGCGGACCGGTCGTGACGCGTCGCGGGTCCAGCCACAAGCACGACTCGCTGGCACCCAGCATGCTCTGCGGCCGCCGCCACCTGGGCCAGGTGGTGTTTGACGAGGTCGACTTCTCGCCGGCCAGCCTGTGTGCGGGCTTCGCCTACCTGGTGGCCCAGTCGGGCCGGTGCTACCTGTGGAAGGGTAAGGGGAGCAGCGTGGACGAGCTGAGCTGCGCGCGGCTGATCGGCATGGACATGTCGCTGACGGGCGAGATGGCCGAGTACGACGAGGGCAGCGAACCCGAGTCGTTCTGGGGTCTGTTCCCTGCCGGGGGCGTCAAGGCTCACTCCGCCGACCACTGGAGGCTGAAGCCCAACTACTCCATGTACGGGGGTCGACTGTTCTGCTCCGAAGCCGACGCACGACAGCAGGTATCTGCCCCTTCCCTCTTACGGCCCCCTCCTTTCCCCTCACATTCCCTCACAACAAGACAGGCACTGACCGAAGACGCACCAGATCTCGGAAATCACCCCCTTCAGCCAAGCCGACCTATCCCCGTTCAAGATTTACATCCTAGACGCCTTTTTCGAAATATACGTCGTGGTAGGGTCCCGGGCGCAGTCGCAGTTCGCATCGTTCCGCAACGCCCTGAACTTTGCGCAGGAGTACGCCATCCTAGCTGCCAGCATCGAGGACAGGCCATTTGTCCCCGTATCGACGGTCGTGCTGGAGGGTGTGCCGCGGGACCTGAAGCGCGTGTTCCGCAAGTGGTCCGACGAGATGAGCCCTACCGTCACCAGACCCTCCGCCACCCCGTCCGCCAGCGGCTCTGCCTCCACGCTCAAGAGGGGGAGGAGTCTTCGCGTCCTGCCTCTTACTCACGCTCTGCAGGCCCTCAGGGACTAGTATACCAGAGAGTAGCAGGCTGATTTGAAAGATTAGTTTGTATGGATATGTGTTTACTCTTCTCTCTTGTTCTTATCAATCCCTCTTTGTCTGCTTTCTTTTCTTTCTTTCTTTTTTTTTTAGATGGAAGGAGTTGCGTGAAAAAGGTGCATTAGGACCATGGATAATTGGAGATGCGGTGCATTGATTTAGGGAAATAGAAATGATGATGATTTCAAGCTGTATCGACCCCCTCCTCCTCCGTCCGACCTTGATATCCTGTACCTAGAAAAGGAAAACGGGGGAAAGCAGCGAGAAGAAGTATTCCATTCGATCCAACGCGAAACCACCCCGAGAAGAACGAAACATTATATTTGCATGTAGAAAAAGTTGTTTAAATGTTCAGTGCCAGGTTTATTTAAAATCGTCCCTAAGGCATGGTGCTGGTTCCCTATAAGGGGGGGGGTATTATCAGACATGCTCTTGTGTGTTTTCCTTGTCCCCATCTTTTCCTTCCCATTTTATAGATCCGTTTCCTTTGGTGTATATCCCCTTGTTTTCTTCATTCCCTTGATATTTCACAGTATGTTTTTACTTTTCCTCTCAGCTCTTGAGCCTTCCATATCCAACAGACCCCGGACAGAGTATCTCCCTACTTTGGAGAAATGTAATGACTAGGCCTCTTCTCCCTCTTCTTCTTCTTCTTCTTTTCTTTTATTTGTCTAATCCGAGCAATCAAGGCAAAAAAAAAAAATTGAAAGAAATGAAAGAGAAAAGAGAAAGAAATCCAGTAGAATATGCTGAATACCTCATCATGATGCATCATGATGACGCATCGACGCTGGTAGACTTGGCCTCTTCAGTGGTGGCAGGTACAGGAATCAGTTCGCCCCTTGCCTTGGCGGTGAGGGCGACGAGTTCCCTGAGCATGAGGTCGCGGGTCGTGCTGGCGAGTTGGTCGACGTCGGCCGAGGTGAGGCCCTTTGTCGGGATGGGGTCGAGGACTAGATGTGGGGTCAGCATATCGGAAGAGGGATAGCCAGAAGAGGCGAGGGAGGGGAGGTATAGGAGCAGGAAGGAGACACACCCTTGACGGGGATACGGCCCGAGTTGAAGACGAAGCCCTTGATGAACAAGACGTGGCTGTAGTTAGCAACCACGCAGGGGACGATGGGCACGCCGGCCTGGACGGCGAGGTGGAAGGCGCCCTTCTTGAAGGGGAGGAGCATGGGCTCCTTGGCGTAGGACCTGGTGCCCTCGGGGAACATGTAGACGCTCTGACGCTTGGCCCTGATCTCGTCGGCGGCGCCCTTCATGGCCTCGCGGGCGTCCTTGGAGTTGCGGCGGTCGATGAAGATGGAGCCCGACAAGGCCATGAACCAGCCCAGGACGGGGACGCGCTTGAGCGACGCCTTGGCCGTGACGCTGCAGTACTTGGGAAACATGGCGCCCAGCATGAGCACGTCCAGCTCGGTCTGGTGGTTGCCGATGAAGACGGCGGGCCGGGTGGTGCCCAGGACGTCAGCCGGGTCGTCGATGTCGAACTGGATGCCCGTGGTGAGGCGCATCCAGTAGTGGAAGGCCCGGCCCGTGGTCCACTGGGAGATCTGCTGGCGTCCCAGGATCGTGAGGACCGTAGAGGCCAGCACGCCGTACAGCGCGGCGGCCAGGAGCGTCATGTACGATGCCAGCACGCGCGCGGCGAAGCTCGCCCGAGGTACGGCGTAGGATAGCACGTACAGAGCCGCTGTCAGGGCGGCATAGCCTGCCAGGAAGTAGGCGGCGTAGAGTAGAAAAGACATTTTCTCTCTCTCTCTCTCTCTCTCTCTCTCTCTCTCTCTCTCTCTTTTAATTTTTTAATTTTTTTTTAATTTTTTTTTTTGGCTCCTCCCGAATCTTTTTTTCTTTCTTTTCGTTCTGCGCAGCGAGTGTTTTGGTTGTCTCGTCTTCTTCCCTGGTGCGGCGGCTCGTGTCGGGAGGAGGGGTGGATGCCGAGGCCGGAATCGGGAAGCACAGGTAGAAGGGGAAAAAAGAATGTGCCTGTGATGGGGGAAAAAAAGGCGGGGGGATGTGTGATGTCAGGTGGATCAGTTTAAGAGCGAGAGACAGAGAACGATGTTGGTGATGGAGGAGGAGGAGGAGGAGGAGGAGTAGGAGGAGGAGGAGAGATGAACAAAGAAGATGAGAGAATAAGACAAAGAGGAAGAAAGTTACAATGAGTCCTGTTCACAACTTCGGAGTATTCTAGGTATCTTGTGATTGAGTTTTAGTTTGGAGAGCGGCTCTACCGTTCATACTAATGGTTACGCCCGTCGGCTGAAGGGTTTGTACGAGTACGTTGCAGGATTGATTGGAGGCCGCGGGGTTCCCTGGCGGTGAAGGTGGTCCGCTACGGGCGTAGTAAGTAGTAGCAGGCCTCGGGACTTTGAGAGTGTCAGCATCGGTAGTTCCTGATCTTTGCTTTGCGTGAAGTGAGCATGCAGAACATCCACTATGTGAGATGCCGTCGCCGACGAGGCAAGTCTACTACTACCGACAACTCACATGAACGATGCATCACCAACAGCTTCATTATGGTGGCGATAGAAAATATTGCCCATGGCTCCTTCCTCTGTACCTGTACCTGTACCATGACGCTCCTTCCCCGAATACTCGCCGGATCGTTCACTGTCACGTGCCTGTACCTTTTGGACGATATTCCCTGTAAGCCCTGTTAACCCCAACCCCAACCCCCCCCCTGTACGATAGAAATCACCCCCCGGGACAGCCTCCAGGGACCTCTGTGACCCACTGGCTGATTACGTACCGACGGATGTGACTGACAGGCTACAAGCACCTTGCTAGACACTATCAGATAATAGCTAGCCATCATCTCCATCTAGGCAGCTTCAATTCTGTCACCACGATCCGTTGCGGTATCCCCCCATCCCGTATCCGACCCTACACCGACGAGATACCACAGGCTCCTAAGAGAGATCATCGTTAAAGCTCTCGACACCCGGGGGTAGGACCCTTCACCACCAGTACTCTCCCCCTTCCCCACCACCATCCATCGACATGATCGTCGCCAGCTCCTACGCCAGCTCCTAAGACACCACGCACCACATCGATCCGCGCCTACCATGACCTCTCAGGCCACCGCCCAATCCAGCGGCCTCGGCGCTGCCGCAGCGAATGCATGTCCGGCCCATCTGTTGCCCCCCATCGACGCCCTCTTCCTCATCGACTTCGACGTGAAAAAGGGCTACACTATCGCGTGGAAGCGCACCTGTCCGGGCGTCGACGTAGACGGCCGTGTCGAGTACAAGTCTCTCCCCTCCGGTCTGCATACCGTCTCTGAGGACCTCATATACTTTGTCCACGATGGGGCCCATGCGGGGCTTAGTGCATTCGTCAATGTCCCCTGCGACGAGGAGGAGGCCAGGAATGCCCGCATGATATCCGTCGGTATCCTCGTGCCCCTCAGCTACGGAAGGCTGGGCCGTGCCTGGAAGCATGCTCAGGGTCTGAAGGATCTGGCTGCGTATGTTTCTCCTCCACCCTCTATTCTGCCGCCTACCATCCACGTATATCCCTGACACAGAAGCAGCAAGCTCGCCAAGAACCTGGCCGACACCACCAGCCTCGAAGCCTACTGGGAGGCCAACAGACCCCAGTCCGACGACGGCAAGCACCAGCAGCTGCCACCCTTCTTCCCCGAGAGCCCCATCGTCTCGTCAGCTCCCGCAGTCACCTTTTCGGAGCCGGCCTCTAGACCCAAGAGCCAGCACAGTCACAACCGGTCGACTTCGGACGGCGCTCCCCTCGCCCCTGCCGAGTATACGCTATCCGCTTACCACCCTGCGTGGAGCCTCACCAGGCTGCTCGACAAGTTTGGGCCTCTGGTGTTTCCTATCCACAGAGCAGCTCTGCTCCGCCGACGTATACTGATCTCGTGCCATGCTCCTGTGCATGAGGTTTGTGATTTCGGTATGCGACCCTCTTCTTTTTTTCCTGCCACTGCCCGCCTGCGCCTCGGTCTAAGACGGAAACGCTGCCTTTACTGTGAGACGGATGAGCTGACCGTTGCCCTCAGTATACAACCTGTCCGTCCTGTCGAATATCCCCCACTCTCTAGCCAATGTGCTCCCGCAATCGTCCTCTTCGGCCCAGCGCCTCCGACCCTTGTTCGCCATTGGCGTCCACGATGTGCCGTTCTTGGTCGACGACTACGACGCTTCCAAGCGACGGGGACGCGGCGAGGATGTCCTCGACGAGTTGGGCACCGGATGGATCGCCTGCACGACGGACAGCATCCTGGCCATGAAAGACACGCTGTGGGACATGCTCATCACCATGCCGCCCGACCACGCCGTCAACGCCAAGGACAAGGCGTGGCCCGTGGTCGAGTGCCCGCGCGGCAAGCCCGTCAAGGCCACGCAGCGCGACCTCCGCCGCTACAACACCCTCCGAAGCGGCCTGGCCCGCTTCTCCTCCCCCTCGCGACCTGCGTCTGCCTCTGGCTCTTCCCCGGCGCGGCAAGACGCTGACAGCCGCTCTCAGCTGACGGCACAGATGACCGTTGCCGACGACTCGTTCGACGCCGTCACGGAGCCGCTGAGCTGGACGGCTCTCGCTTACAACGGGTACATGTGGTGGGCCAGCGCGGGCGAGCAGCGCCTCTCGGAGGAGCAGGAAGAGCACTCGCACGACGCAGCCCTCTTAGCAGACCTCATGCCTCCGTCGCCCGGCCAGCAGCACCAAGCATCCGTGAGCCTACCCCGGCATCAGCAGCAGCCGCCGTCGTCTTCGTCGTCCCGGGCCGACCCCCTCTCGGACTCGACGGCCTCCCTCACAGCCAGACACAACACCAACCCCCCGTCTATCGGTGGCAGTGGCCAGGCCCGCGTCGAGCTGGCAACGATAGCCTACTTCCACCGCCTGACGACACAGATACTCTCCATCGTCTCAGACATCGTCGACAGCGCAGAAGACGCATACCCACCCCCCCAGCGGCCTCTGTACAGCGATGATGTAGACGGCCAGGACGACGGCGACGACGATGACGAGAATGCAGCCCTGGTCGGCGCCAGCAGCAGTGTCAGTGCTGGCGACGACGACGACGACGACGACGACGGAGCCGCCGTCGTCATAGACTCTCGCTCCATGGAGAAGATGGGTCTAGACGTGTGGAGCGATTCGGACGCCGAGTTTGTCAGGACGCTCACGAAGACGTATTTCGGCCGAAAGGCCAAGACCGAAGGGAAGGGTGTCGAGGTTTGCGGTGTACGTGTATGTTAGCGCCGTGTCTCTTTGATATAACGACTTGTTTGGTCTTCTTTTTTGTTTTTTTTTTTGTTTTTTTTCCCTGGACAGAAACGCTTCATTTCTTCCTTTTTTTCGGCTTCCTCTGACACGTTTCATTCTCTGTACGAGTGTTTCTTAATACCACACATATTTGTTTACCTGCATCTCTTTTTTTTCTTTTCTTTTCTATTGACAGGAGGAAAAAACATGACGATGGCATTCATCTACTCTGTTTTCAACCAGGAGAATAAGAATGGAGAGAAACAAGAAGGCTTGATAAATGTCCTTTGCAGAGGGAAGAAGAAGAAGAAAAGGTGAAGAGAAAGAAACAGGGCAATGCATATTACAACTCCCGCAACTCCAATAAAAAAACATTCCTCTCTACCCCCAACCCCCTCCCCCATTTTTTTTTTGGGGGGGGGGGGAGGGGGAGAGGGAAAAAAAAGAAAAAAGGAAAACAAGTAGAAACGAAGGAGAAAAAAAACAAGCAGGACTGAATAGAAGATTCGTTCCTTGTCCAGCTTTTTCACTTTCATCTTTCATACCCCATGTCATGCACATTTTGCTCAAAACCTGGAAAAAAAAAGGAGTAAGCTAAGAAATGATTACAATTACAAAATCTTCTAGCGATGAACCAATATCTGCCGCCGCCATGTCCATTTGCTCACGACTCATCCTCTGTATCAGTGTTGGTCGCGCTCGTGTCATCGTCTTCCTCCTCGGTGGCGCTCTCCTCGTCTGATGAGTCGTCGGCCTGCTGTCTCCTCTTGGGTTTCGAAGAAGGCGCTTGGCCCGTCTTGAGGGCGTGCATCTGTCCGGCGATGGAGTCTGGAATTGTCCGCGTCAGCATGCAGGCATGTACAAGGGGAGTGGGTTGAGAACAGGAAGAGAATAGTAAAGATGAGAGATCAGAGTGGGAGGAGAGAGAGATGAGAGAAAGAGAAGACATACCTTCATCCGGTTCGGAGATTTCATCCTCTCCAGCCATCTCGGCAGCCTTACTGGCCTCCTCGACAACCATGGTCACATCCATGCGCGTGTCGAGGCCGACGTAAGAGTCGCAGATGACGTGCAGGACGAACGTGTAATGTCCCACCTGGGGAGGGGCGGCAAACACGGCCTTGAGCGTCTGCATGGCAAACGTGGGCTTGCCCTCGTCATCGAAGACGGGCTGGTCAAAGTGCGTAAAGGTGAAGGGGGGCACGGCCATCTTGCCCTGCTTAGAGTCGCCGAGGAAGGCGTGCCACCTAGGCGCCTGGGCCCGGGCGTAGTAGGGCGCGTGCGTGAGCGGGGGGAGGATCTTCTTCTCCTCGACCGACATGGGCTTGCCGTCGGGACCCTTGATGGTCTTCTTGCGGCCCGTGATGGCCTCGAGGTCGTCCTCGTCCGGGTCCACGTCCTCGAGGTCCAGCTCGTTGACCTTGGGCACCTTCTCTGTCCCGGGCGGGATGAAGCGTCCCTTGATGACCAGGCTGACGAGCGACGACGGAATGATGATGCGCTCGCCCGTCACCTTGAAGAAGGCCCTGTCCACGCGCAGGTAGGGGAGCTGCTTGCCCACCCTCATGGCCTCCTCGTACTGCTCGTCCGTCAAGAGACCGTCGCCGACGGCCTTTTCCCTGCGCTGCGCGTCTGGCCGGTCCATGAACTGCTGCACCGTCATGTGGTCCCGCGATCCACCCTCGACGGCGGCGGCAATCTTGGAGTTGAAGTAGGGGAGCTGGAGGAGGGGCGAGGCGCTGGGGGCCAGGGCCTGGATCAGATGCTGGTTGACCTGGAACGAAGCCAGGATGGGCTTGATGTTACCAAAGGCCAGGGAGATGGTGGCGAACGAGTCACGGAGAGCGCGGGCGATGGGCGCCACCTCGTACTTGGCCCTGGTCAGGCTGGCGTCGTCGAGTTCGATGCGGCCCAGGTAGGCCCAGAGGAGAGCCAGGGCCTTGCGGCGCGCGCCACAGTCGAGCTCCTCGAGGGCCTCCTTGTCCTTGACGGAGAAGCCGCAGGCGAACTCGGTCGAGCCTTCGGCGGCGGCGGCGACGATGCGCGACTCGATCTTGGACAGGCCCGCGTCGGCCTTGTCACCCTTGAGGAGAAGCTCGTACTCCTTGCCGTTGCTGAGAGCGTAGAGGATCCCAGACGCCTCGATGGGGTCCTCGTAGTGGCGGAACAGGTCGTTTGCGCTCTCCATCAGCACGCCCTCCTTGGACCTGCGCTTCGCGCCGTACCACCACGACCCGACCAGCCATGGGAGCAGGACACCGAGGAGGAGGGTGTAGAGCAGCACGACGTACTTGCCGTTGCCATCGTCGACGATGAACTTGGGCAGGGCAATTCCGATGCTCATGCTCTGCTTGCCATCCGGGTGGCCGTACTGGACGTAGTTGTTGCGCACCTCCTCGTCCGTCAGGGCCTGGTACGCCTTGGTGAGGCCGACGTAGTAATCGTTGAGCGACTCGACCGTCTCGTTCTTCGCAGGGTCGGGCTTGACCTTGTCGGGGTGGTACTTGACCGAGAGCCGCTTGTAGCGCGACTTGATCTCTCTCTCGGTCGACGACTATTTCCATGCGCGCACGCGGGGGGCCGGGTCAGTCACCACGCATCGTCTCTGGGGGGTTATCCGGTATCCTGCGCGCCTGTGCGGGTCCGGGGAGGTGTGTATATATGAGACTCACATCTGGGATTCCAAGCACGTCGTACGGGTTCCAGATCTGGTTTGTGGTCTGCTGGGTGACTATGATGAGATAGGCCATCGCGGCCATGACGGCCCAACCGATCAGGGCCGCGATGGCCCTCTTGACCCTCCTCTGCCTCCGCTTGTCGGCGTTTCGCAGACTGTCTATGGTGGCAGCATCCTCAGGCTTGAAGTCCGACCTGATGCGGGGCGCGATCTCGTCGTCGTCGGTGGAGCGTCGCAGAAGCGTGTACGTCAGGGGGAGGGTGACTAGACCGGAGAGGGTGAAGATGAAGAACGGGAAGAACTGGCCCTGTTTTGCAGTGGAACGAGGGAAGATGTCAGCGTCTGCAAGTGAAGAGGAGAGGTTGATGGAGAGGACGGGCGTGGCCTGCTCCGTGGCTGCTGACCTGTTCATCGTAGGAATAGTCGGAACTCATCGTGTCGTCCGATGGGGGCTCTCAGCCCTGCTCAGGCTGGAGTGAGGGGCGAGGCAAGTCGGGGTAGATAGAGGATCCAGGAAAGAAAGGGCCGGGAAAAGGAGGAAGGAGAGGACAGCGAAAGACCGTCAAACCGGTCAGGACGGAGGGAAGTATAAGCAAAAGAGGAGAGAGGTCTTCCGCTCGCACAAAGAGGGAGAGAGGGAAGAGAATTAGAGGGTTCACGATATAAGCCGAGTACAAGCTGTCCCCAAGGTTCAAGGTGTCCTGACAAGTTTATCTAAAGCTGCAGCTCGTCTGTCATTGGTCGGCGGTCGGATTTTCAGTCTTTCCCCCACCAACGTCAGGGCGCCACCGTGTCTACAAAGGTACGGGTGATATTATGTAATCCATATATCTGCTAGTACCTGTACTCGTAATCTGTACAAAGAGCAACAACAGCATGTACTCCGTACAGATCTGTAATCTGTAGTCTGTAATTGCGGATACTCCGTACATACTCGTATTGGTACTTCCATACGGACTATGTTTACTTCATGTTCAGATTAGTTAGCAATATTACCCGCAGAGTTTAGAGTGGTATTGCTATACTTGTACTGTATTATGTAATCAGTTGCTATTGCTGCCGGTAGTATAATGTATGATGATCCTCCTTCGTTTCATCTTCTTGCGTATTCCATTTGCCTCCCTTCCAAAGCTCGGCAGGTACGAACGTACGCGTGTACAATAGGTTGCACCTGCCGTCATCGCTCGTACTGACCGTCATCACGTGATTGTCCCTCATCGGAGCTGAGAGTATCACTCCGTTCAACGCTCGTACGTTGTTGATATGAGAGCATCTCTATGTAGCCAACCGTCTACTATCCAACCGTCTGCAACATCTTCACGCTCTATCCTGATCGTAGGAATCTTCTTCTCCCCCTGCGGGCCCTTACGGGCCCCTACGGGGTACCTTGACGGGTACGGAGCGTTTCTTTGACGTCCCACCGCTGCTGGTATGAATAATATCACGTAGCAGGTCACAACTTGAGAGAGCACTTGTACGCCCTACGCATCCGTACACGTGCCAAGCTCAACTCCACGTGCGTAAACCGTGCGCAGTGTAGGTGCGCTTGCCGTGCATCTTTTATATGGCCGCATCATCCTGGCAGAAGCCGGGACGTCGTCTCCCAGTGACCGCTGAGTCCCACAATCGTGAACCTGTACGTCCGCCAGCGGCCCCCCTGCCCAGCCATCAACATTCGGCAGAGGAGCCGGATGAGAGAGGCAGAGTACTCCTGATCACAACCGGCGGCATCACCTCGCCTCTACACCCCTCATGATTTCCACCGACGACGATGATGGAAGAGATCACGGCCATGTGCTCCCAGCTTCCCAGCTACTATTGCCTATATTAGTCCGTTTCCGGGCATAGCAAGAGCCGCATCTTATTCCCGTCCTGCCAAGGCTTCTTGAATCGTCGTTATGTAGGACTCTTCACACGAGATTCTCTCTCAGGGTACCCCGTAAGTCGGTTGATATCAAGCCATGCGATGATAGCATGCAGCCACGACCGGTCTCTCTCCTGCCCCTCCTTACCCGACCATATTACCTGGCATAGAACGGGCATGCTCATGCTCGACTGTGCGACGGTTCCACTTGCGGGCTCTAGCAGGTAATCGGAGCCGACGGCTGACAAGTGCCGATCAACTGACGACTTACATGCCATTCGACCGTCTCCCGGAGGCCCCTGATTGGCGCCTAGCAAGGGTTTGCGATAACAAGACACCGATGATCTGGCCGTTATTACGCGGCGTACTCCGCATCACAGATAGATACACTTTTTTTTTTTTTGGACATTTGTAAAGATAACATGGATGAGGAGCCCTGGCCCCTCTGCGATGGTCTCTATTCCCAAACCTGTATATCTAACCGTCCGAGCAGATTAGGGGCATGCACTTATGGAGCCGATAAACCACCTACCTTTACCCCCCCCTTTCCTCCCCTCCTCCCTCCCTCTCTCTCTCTCTCTCTCTCTCTGCTCTGGGAGCAGCATTATATTCCATCGAGACGGCCTCCAAGCCCATGTGTTGAGCGTACGCACAAGGCCTCTAGATCATAGTAATCGCCCCGACAGCACAGCCCTTCCTCCCCAGAGGAGAACATCCTCCCTTCGATCGCTATGCAGCCAGCAGTGGAGACGAAAGAAAAGTCAGTGGTGACCACCAGTGACCCCGAGATAGCCGAGGGAACGACAGCGACGACGGCAACAGAGACAGGCGCAGCAGCGGCAGACATCGAGGCACCACCGTCCTCCTCCAGAGTCCGACGATGGATCCGCGCCATCGGCGCCGAGGAGGGTGGCATAGAGCGGGTCCCGGAATGGATGCGGACCGACCAGTCGCCGCGTGACCTTTTCAGCGTCTTCTTCGCGGCCAACTGCAACACGGCGTCGCTGGCGCTGGGCTACCTGGGCCCGGCGGCCTTCCAGATGGGGTGGTGGGACTCGTTCGCGGCGATCCTGCTCTTCAACCTGGCCGGGGCGGCGCTGCCGGCGCTGGCGGCACGGCTGGGGCCCAAGCTCGGGCTGCGCACCATGACGATACCCCGGTACAGTTTCGGTTGGTGGCCGGCCAAGGTGCTCGCGCTGCTGAGCGCCATCAACCAGATCGGCTGGGCCATCGTCAACGCGATATCCGGGGCCGGCGTGCTGTACGACGCCGGAGACGGCGACCTGCCGCTGGCGGCAGCGGTGGTCGTCGTGGCCGTGGTGGCCATCGGCCTGGGGCTGATGGGCTACCACGTCGTGCACGTGTACATGCGGTGGTCCTTCTACCTCGTGTTCGTGTGCTTCGTCATCATGGCCGGCTTCGGGGCCGGCCACTTCGTCAACGTGGCCATGCCGTCGGGCCCGCTCGAGGCGTCCAGCGTGCTGTCGTTCGGCACCGCCATCATCGGCTACGAGATCGCCTGGCAGGTCGTGGCGGCCGACTACGGCGTCTACATGCGCGAGACCGTCTCCGGGTCCCGGTCGTCGGCGTGGATGTTCTTCGGCCTCATCATCCCCCAGATCACCATCGAGTGGCTCGGCGCCGCCGTGGGCACGCTCAGCCGCAGCCCGGACCCGCGATTCGCCGCCGCCTACGCCTCCCGCGGCATCGGCGGGCTCATCGGCGCCGTCTTCGACGGCAGGGGCTCCGCCGTCAGGGGCCTCGGCAAGTTCGTCGAGGTCGTCCTCAGCATGTCCACCATGGCCGTCATCACCGCCAACATCTACTCGCTCGGCCTGAGCGTCCAGATCATCTCCAACCGACTCATGGCCGTCCCGCGCTTCGTCTGGTGCCTCGCCGGAAGCGCCGTCTTCCTCGCCTGCTCCATCGCCGGCAGGGACCACCTCGAGGCCGTCATGGAGAACTTCCTCCTGATCTGCGCCTACTGGATCATGCCCTTCGCCGTCATCGTCATGACCGAGCACTTCGTCTGGCGACGCGCCTACCAGTACGACCTCGACGCGTGGAACGACCCGTCCAAGCTGCCCTACGGCATCGCCGCGTCCGTCTCGTGGGTAGTCGGCACCGTCATCTCTATCCTGTCCATGAGCCAGGAGTGGTGGGTCGGCCCCATCGCCAGCGGCATCGGCGGCTCCGAGGCTGGCACCGACATCAGCTGGATATTGGCCTTCTTCATCTGCCCAATCATCTATGTCCCGCTCAGGATATGGGAGAGGCGCAAGTGGGGACTGTGAACGAAATCGTATCCGTACCTGTTTCATGTCGATGGGCAGTCAGTAGTACCTACTAATAATCGTGATAATGTCATCGTCTTACCTCTTGTATCACCACTTCTTGGTCGAGCCAGGAACTCAAGACGACTCGTGTATATCAACATTTGCAATGGAACAAACTAGATATGTATATATATATATGTGTGTGTGTGTGTGTGTATGTTGCTATGCTATGCTAAAAAAAAAAAATTTAAAAAAAAAAGAGAGTAGGTACAAAGAAAGATGTGGATACGGTACCAAGGTGATACATCACGACTGGTGGTCTCCCTTCTCTTTCCCAATGATCGTCATGCCAAGCCCCTTGGTGAGCTCACCGAGGATGCCTCCATCGTCCTCTCCGTCCGTGTCGTCCTCGGTGGTCAGGCCCGCACCCGAGTCGTAGTTGGCAAGCAGGATGCTCCGCAGGTCTTCCTCGCTGAGCAGGTCGTGCAGGGTGCGATCCCTAGCCCTGGTCTCGCGGATGCCCTGCTCGATGAGCCTCTCGATCCTGAGACGATTGGAGATGAAGTTGATCTTGGGAAAGGTGCTCTGCTTGCCCTCGTGGATCATGCGGGCGAGCCTGGGCGGGTCCGGGTCGGTGAGGATGTGGTAGAAGTCGGAGGGGATGGACTTGGGCCAGATGGTGACTGTGCCGCTGAACTGCTGCAGCCAGAGCTGGCTCCAGTCCTGCCCCAGCGGTCGGGGCAGCAGCTCGGCGTGCCGGATGAAGCGGAGCCACTTGTTCATGTCGAGCTTGAGGTAGTGCTCGATGGCGGACATGAGGTAGCCGCCGCGCCAGCCGCGTCCCTTTCGGTGGGTGACGGGGTGGCCGACGGAGCCGCGCGACGAGAAGAAGAAGAGGTTGATGTGCGGGTTGACCTGGCTGACGATGGTGAAGTTGACGTTGAAGTGCGTGTTGAGCGCCTTGATGGGGATGTCGGTCCGCAGGCTGCCGTCCTTCCACTTGTGCCCGAACGAGAAGGGCTCCAGGCGCCCGTCGCGGCCCTTCATCATGAGCACCACCGGGTTTAGGATGCCCGGGACCGCCGCCGACGCCAGGACGGCAGACCAGATGACGCAGTCCGGGCTGGTGAGGTAGTTGCACAGGATCGTGGGCGAGTGGGGGTCCGCCGGCACGCAGCTCACGTTGAGGATCCGGCCCGTCCGCTCGTACGCCTCGCGGAATGTCAGGGACCCGCGCGTCCACCAGCTGCACCGCCGCGCCCAGTCCACCGAGTCGAAGCGCGCGCCCGTCCTCCACCACCGGGGCAGCCACGTCGTTATGCTCTCGCTGCACGCGTTGATCTTGACCGCCAGCGAAGGCACCAGCAGCGCCTGCAGCTCCTCGTCCGTCCGCGTCGCCACCAGCCCCGCGATCAGCGCGCCGCCGCTCGTACCCGTGATGACGTTCGGCAGCTGGCCCGCGTCCAGGAGCGCCCTCAGCACACCGATATGGTAGTATGCAAACGCCGCCCCGCCAGACAGACACAGCGCCGTGCGGCCAAAGTTGGCATCCACATGCTGGAAGAGGATGCGCTTCTCCTCTGCATCCAGTAACTTGGTCTTGAGCAACAACTTGAGGCTCAGATCGACTAGTTCACTTCTTGTCAGCTTTTTTTTCTCTTCTTTTTTTTTTCTTTTTCGGTGTCCTTCTCCCCCCCCCCCCCCGGCAAACAGACGAACACTTACCCTCGTCGAGATAATTCTGCACCAGATTCTTGGTCCCATAGTACGTTTGGCTGTACAGCCTAGAATTCTCCACGCCGACAAAGTTATTCTTGACGCAGGCCTCCGTCAAGGCTCTGAGCTCGTCGACAGCCTTGCGCCTGTCGTCTTCGGCCGTGCCCGCCGCCTCGGCCGTCAGCCTGGTCTTGCGCATCTGGTCCCACACGCGCTTGACCGTCCTGGAGTCGTAGTAGGCGAAGTCGTCCTCCTCACGCCACGCCCTGCGACCCAGGTACCCGTCCAGATCCTTGGCGGCGGCCACCCAGTCCCTGTAGTTCGACGTGCGGCGCATGCTCATCCGAAGCTGCTGACGCCTGCCGCGCCACGTGAAGAAGTGCTCGTAGAGCCAGATGTATCCCCTGGTGGACAGGTAGGCGAGGCCCAGGCCCGTGAGCCATGCCACGACGAAGAAGAGCAGCGGCCACTTGGACAGCTGGTACAGGTACCCCTCTCGGGTCTCATCCTTGGACCGCGTACCTAGGAGGCCCTCTACCGGCCTGCCGCCGCCGCCGCCCTTCCCGCCTCTGCGCTTCCTCCTTGACCCACCCTTCTTCTTGCGCTTGGTGGTGCTGCTGTTCTTGTCGTCGTAGTCGTACACGGACGGGTGGATGGGCGCCCAGTCGTTCTGCGCCGTGATGAAGGTCGGCGCCGACGAGGTGGCAGGCGGTCCGCGTTGCGGGCCATCGTCGTCTGCCGCCGGCGTGCTCCCTGATGCCATGGCCGACGCCGACGCCGCCGCCGCCGCCGCCGATGCCTCTTCGAGCATGGCCGTGCTCGCCAGCGAGTCGCGCTTCGTCACCCACGGCGAGCTGCTCCGGGGGCGCGGCCTGAGGCCGGATGCTCCAGAAGCCGCGTCATCGGGAGTAGGACTTTGCAGCGGATCCGGGGCCTGCAGCGCGCGCTCAAAGGCCTCGACGTCCTCCTCCGGGATGAAATCGACGTCGACGTCCGGCAGGAGACTGCTATCAAATGCCTCGGGCGGGAAGTCGTACGAATCCAGGCCGGTGCGTCGTCGAGACGGGTCCCCCTTGGACATGGTTCTCGGTATGCGTATGCGTGTTTCCGTCTTGTTCGCCGTCCTCCGTCGGGGTAGGCTGGGGTTGTGTAGTGTCGGTTTCCGCTCGGATGGTCGACCGTTGTCGTCTCTCTGTCTTCTCCTTCGATGCCTGATTTGAGTTTTCGAGGTTATTGCCACATGGAGAAGAGGGAGGGAGAGTTTGAAGTTAGAGGAGCTCCTTTGGCGAGGATGACGTAGAGCCACACCGTTCGTCCGCTTTTTTTCGTTGGGGATTCGATCATCCGCCTCCACCAAGTTGTCCCGGATCCGTAGTGGTTAATCATGAGACAGGTTGGCCACAACGAGAGTGCCGGGGCCAGAACATTCGCAGTTTTCCCTTCACGTTTGTCTATTGCTTTTCTTGACAACAGCTGGGAAAAAAAATCTCTTTTTTATTTTTTCCCTTTTTTCCTCTTGCTTCCACGAGGTCATGGGCAGATCTAGGAATCTTGGTGAATTCCCTCTCTTGGCATCTCCGCCACCCCACAAGCATCATCTTTCCAGGGGCAAGCACTTTACTTTTTTTTTTTTTTTCCTACGCTGGAGCCCGTTTGTAAGGAAGGCAGAGTAGGGAGACGGAGAGGAAACCAATTGTACTTGAATAGAGAATCCTCTTCCTCCCTCTGCTCCGAAACGTTTCGCCTGAAGAAGGATGCTTGAATTTCTTGGTCATGGACTTATCTCCTCTACTATGGAGGGAAAAAGGACAAGAGAATTGTTGTTCTTCTCTGTCCTACTCTCCTCCTCCCTCACACACAGACGCACACACACACACACACACAATCTCTCTCTCTCTCTCTTTCTCTATCCATCGGTCTCTCAATCTCCCTCCCTTTCCCTCCATCCTCACCCCTCCCCTCGCATTACATTATAACGGGCCACGGCCCACAGCAACAGTAACGTTAACAGTAACAGCAACAGCAACCATCTCGTGCGTGCCCGTCACTTAGACGTACTGTGACAGCCACCTGATGGCCTCGCCGTAACCTTGGCGCATGACGACGGAGCACATGAAGAGCTCGATGGGACGGATGCCCTCGAGAGGAACCTTGCCCTTACCGGTGGTCTGGTAGGTGCCGAGCTGGTGGCGCATCTCGTCCTCGGAAACGGCGTCGGGGTGGTCAATCTTGTTGCCGAGGATGACAAAGGGGACCTTGGAGAGCTCCTCCATGGACAGGAGAGCGTCGAGCTCGGCCTTGGCCTCGGGGAAGCGCTCGTGGTCCTTGGCGTCGACGAGGAAGACGACGCCGTTCACCTCGGGGAAGTAGTCCCTCCAGATACGGCGGGCTATTGTCGTCAGAGAAGCAGGTTAGCAGACTGTCTTTCTTCTTCTTCTTCTTCTCCACCCCGATTCAAGGAAAGACGGAAGATGCACCCTGCTGGTGACCGCCGAGGTCAAACGTGGTGAAGCGGACGTTGCCGATGGCCAGCTCCTCCGAAGTAGGGTGGAGAGTAGGCTGGAGGATGGCGACACGGTCGTTCTGGATGGAAGCTCGTCAGTACGGCACCCGTCCACACAAGGGCGTCGGCAGAGTCGAGACGAGGCAGGATGGAGTAGAGAGAAGCGTACCTTGAGCATGTGCAGAAGCGTCGTCTTCCCAGCATTGTCCAGCCCGAGGAAGAGCAGCTTGGCATGCTTGTTAAGCAGTCCGAGCGAGGACAGCACGTCGTAAACTGTGCATCAGATGCCGTCAGTATCTCTGTTTCCTCCTCTCCATGATTTTCCCCCCCTTCCTCCCTTCTCCCCATCACCACCTTCTTGTTCTGGCTCCCTCCTCTTATACTTATCCCGTGGGGCGGGGAGGGGAGGTTTGAACGTAACGTACACCAGTTGACGATCCACATGCTGTCGACCTGTATATCGGCTCGTTCTATATGTAGATTGGTTGATAGGAGAGATCGTCGGACAGGTTGTTATTTATTTATTTTTCGTCGTTCGTCGTCGTCGTCGTCGTCGTCGTCGTCACGTTGGTGGAGGGGAGGTTGCGTTTGTGGCAGGGTATTGTGAATGCTGTCTTCGATCGACGGACGCTCTCTTCCACTCTCTTTCTGGTCAGTTATAGTATGTCGAAAGCTGGCCCTTGGGCTGAGCCCGGGGGTAGGAGGACGCCCACTTGTTTTATGCCTTGATTTTAAGGCAGATCCAAATGTAGGTGTGTGTACTCGTAGCCCGTATATTAATACCTGCTATTCGCATTCTAGACCTGTCTCTGGTGCAGTGTGGTACTACGAAATACTGGCAGTATACTACTATATTATTACTGTACGGAGTACGTATGCCGCTATCTAGACAGTCCCGGTGTAGGGAACCGTACAGCTTATCGGCTCTGACTTTTTTTTCTACCAGTCCATACCACCGCAAAGGCCTATGGTCCGTATATCACACGAAATATACAATAAATGGTCTGATACTGGGTGTTTCTGCCTCCGCGTCTCTACCTCGGTATTTCTCCAGGTATATTTCTCCAGGTATTTCCGCGGTGCGTTCTAGTCTGTGGATGAGACCACATGTCATTACATCACGTGTCACCGAGTAAATAATAGGAAGTTTCTTTCCTCTTCTTTTTTTTTTTCGTGCTTTACGCCCCGTTTACCGTATATGGTGTGAAATACGTGCATTATTCATTGATTCGTAAGTCGTAAATCTATTCGCATCGTCATCGGGCATACACGGGCCTGTACTAGGCGAACGATGCCCGCCATGATGCCCGATTTTAGGGAGCCAACTACACCGGGGGCAGAACTGAGAGAGAAACGGTCGTGAAGATTGTAGGTGTGAAGCAATGCAGTCGTCTAGAAGGAAGAAGAGAATCAATCGAAAGTGCAGATGTACGCTCAGTACCTGGCAGCAGATATGCGCAGTGCAGATGTCAAGAATGAGGAGAGAGACAAGTCATGAAGTAGAAGATCAAAGTGTGCGGCAGGACAGTCAGGCCTTGAAGACTGATGGAATGAAAGAAAATGTAAATATATGCTCTGCGCCGATTCCCATGCCCAATCCGAGAATAAAACTCCTGTGGCTGTCTGAGGAGGTAAAAAAAAAAAGATTTGAAAAAAATTGTATGTACAAAGAAGAGGAAATGAGTTGAACCGCCCGCCCATTTGAAGAAAGGTGGGAAGAGGTACAGAAGAGAGGCAAAAAAAGGAGAGAGAGGAGGGGTGGAGAGTGAAGGGTTAGATAGACATGACATAATTGCCCTGATCCTTCTTCCCCGCCATGAGCAGACCGAGCTCCTTCATCCTCTCGGCACCCCTACCAGGCTGCGTCTTGCGCTCGGGAATCTGGCCCCGCCTGGCGCGGTTGCAGTACTTCTGGTAGAACTTCTCCCGGCGGCGTTGCCTCTTCTTCTCGAGGCCCTTGACGATGTCGATGGCCCCGCGGAGGTGCACGTCGTCCTTCTGGACCCGCCTGGTCCCGCGGCTGTGCTGCTTGCCTCCCTGGCCGAACGTGACGCCAGCGCGGGGGAGTGACTTGGTGGCCGTGAGGCCGGCGTGGGGGGCGGGGACGGCCAGGTTGAATCCCAGCTTCGTCGGACGGGGAGACTTCTTCGGCAGGAGGGCTGCACCGCCCTGCTTGCCGGCCTGCTTCGTCTTGGTAGGGGGAGGGGGTGACCTAGCTCTACGGCTGGGCGCGGGGGGAGGGGGTGTGGGCTTTCGCTGCTGCTGCTGCTGCTGCTGCTGCTGCTCTGCCTCGACGGTAGATATAGCGACGGCAGAGCCACGGGGCGACCTCTCGCGCAGCTGTTTATTGGGTGCGGGGGAGTGATAGTATTTCCTGCTGGTGGGGGAGACCAATCCGCTCTTGCGACGGCGGCGCGTAGACCGGTGGTGGTCCTGCTCGTGGTGCAGGTCCTCCATCTTGCCGGGGAAGAAGTCGTCGTCGTCGCTGTCGTGGTGCACCGGGTTGTAGATGTCCTCATCCTCGTCGTCCTCCGGGTCCGAGGCGGGGAAGCTGGGGTCGATGTCCTGCGGGATGATGCGGAGCTTCTCGTTACGACGGGCCGCCATGCATGTCAGGTAAGCCTCCTCGAGGGGTCGGTCCTCGTCCAAGGTGCCGCAGACGAAGTCGGTGCTGTCGGGCAGGTCGGGGGCCTCGGGCTGCGGCTTGATGCGCTGCATGTTGGAGCGGCGCCGGCTCGAGTCGGCGGCCGTCATGGTCGACGAGTCCGAGTGCGGCTGCTGGTCGCGCAGGAAGGGCTGCCTGCCGAGGCCGGTGGTGGTCGCGCCGTCGGCGGTGGCCTCGCCAGAAGCGGCGGTCTTGGCGGCGGCGGCAGCGGCGGCGGCGGCGGCAGCAGGGCTCTTGCTCAGAGTCCAGAGAACCAGGTTGTCATCCTCTCCCCCGTCCGACTCGTCCGATTCGGCGAATCCCGTCTCCTCGTCGGTGTGGTAGCCGTCGGAGAGGGCGTCGTCGAGGTCGTCCTCGTTCTCGTCCTCGTCCTCGTCGTCCTCGTCTTCGTCCTCCTCATCTTCTTCGTCGTTGTCGTTGTCATCCTGATTGTCGACGTCGTCGTCCTCGTCCTCGATGTTGTCATCGTCGTCGTCTTCCTCAAGCTCGGCCTCCTCTTCGGCCTCCCTCCCCAGACGGCGGATGCGGTTCTCCTTGACGAGGGTGTCGTCGATGGTCAGCTTCCCCTTGGCGGCGACGCTATCCTGACGGATCCAGTCATCTTCGCGGGACCGCTCACGGGCAAACTCGTGGAACTGCGAGCCGTCGAGGACAAGGTCATTGGAGTTGGCGCGGAGGAACTTGGGACGGGAGAGGGGAGGCCTGCTCGACGACCTCCTGGCGACGCTCGGGCTTCCGGGGTTTGCGGACCCCACAGCGACGGCTGAGTACCTCCTGGGAGTAGAGGGGGACTCGGGCTTCCTGGGAGTCCTGGACGAGGACCGAGGCGTGGTAGGGCGGGCGGCAGGAGGGGTGTTCTGGGTAGAGGCCGGCCGGGCCGGACAGGCAAACTTGATGCACGGGCGACGGGCGGCCGGCTGCGGCGGCTGCGGCTGCGGCTGCGGGAGCTGCACGTTGGTCCGGGGAGAAGCAACAGCAGGCAGGCGAGCGGCGGGCTTCTCGGCGGCAGCAGCAGGCTTGCCGGTGCAGGTGAACTGGATGGAGCGCTTGCGAGGGGCATCGGCAGCCTTCTGCTGCAGCTCCGGGGAACGCTGCAGGCTGGTCCCGGTCCTGGCGCTGGCGGGGTAGGAGGTGACGGACCCAGTCTTCTCGGACTGGATGCGCACGCCGCTGAGGCGCGAGACGACAGATTCAGGGATGGGCGGGCTAGGGGTGTTGGTGCGCGCCGGGCTGGTCATGCCGGTGTCGCTGGTGAGGTCGGCGGTAGAGGCGAGGCTGACGTTGCTGGCCATGGAGCGGCGCCTGGCCGTGTGGAAGGCCGAGGGGAACTCGTCGCGAGGGGCCGACAGGTGGACCTGGACCTGGTCGGGGTAGCCCATGATGGCCTTTGTGAGGAGAGAGGTCTGCTCGCTGGGACGCCTGACGGCGGTGCGGGTGAACTTCTGAGGGCTGGATGCGTGGGGTGGTGCTTCGGGAGGCTCGTCGTCGACCTCGTCGGTCTCTTCCGCGTCCTGAGCAGCCCAGACGGGCACCTGCCAGGCTATGGGGGTAGAAGGAGACATCGTGGTCGTATCGTCTCGCTTGCTTCTGGTTCTAGACAAGAGGTGGTGATGGGTCGTCGGTCAAATGGGAGGAGGAAAAGAACAAAGAGGTTGGGTGAAGAGACGGTGGTAAGAGATGGTAGTCGAGGATGGACTATGACAGCCCAAGAGAGAATGTCTCCCTTGGCGATTGCGACCGAGGAATGTCGCGAGAGGGTTTCTTCTCTCCTTTCAATGTCCGAGAGGACCGTGGTGCTATAACATGTAGTCCGACATCATGTCTAGGCCGAGCACAAAAGTTGAATGTCCGAGATTTGGTGTATGAGAGGAGACTGGGCGTTGGTGCCGCGTGTGTGAGACAGAAAGCAAGGTCGACCTATTTTTGGTGCAGATGTTTGAAAGGGGGGGAAAAAAAAGAAAGAAAAAAAGGTGAAATTGTCTCTCAAAGGATGAGTTTGAAGCCCGAAGCCAATGTATTTCTGCCGGCGCTTGAGAAATTTTGCTCGACGGCAGGGCTGAATGGTGGCGCGGAAAGCGTGAATGGGAGAGGACAGTATATTTTTTTACTTGGTAATACCATCGAATGGATTATGACGTTTTGGCGCTGACTTGGGTCAACTCGACCGGCCTAGGCGTGAGAGTGTAAGTGGCGATTTTAGAGCCGATACGGAAGGCCTCGGAATACGTCAAGAAGAAAAGTCTTGGAAAGGTTATTCTGGTTGTTTCTCTTCGCTCTTCGTTCTCTGGTTTGCCGGATGGAACGAATGGGGTGGTGGAGATGTTGGAGAGCACTGCCTGGTTGAAACAGAAAAGAGGCTGGCTGTGCTGTGGCGTGAGACTGGGGGGGGAAGAGAGAGACAGAGACGGAGAGAGAGAGAGTGAGAGTGTGAGAGAGGAGCCGAGCCAGTCAGTGATGAAGGCCCAGTGTGGCAAGGTGCCAAGCGGGTAAGAGAGAACCCCGTGCAGACGAGGAAGGAACGAGTCCCTCGCCCTGACTTTCAGCACCTGGCCACTTTGAAAGGCGGGTGTGTATGTATGTACTGAAATGTGTGTGTGCGTGTGCGTGTGTGTATGTGTTTGTTTGAAAACATACAATTACCAGTAAGAGGTAATATAGGAGGAGAAAAGGGCAACGAGCGATATTATATTCTTATTACGAGAACTACGGAGTTACAACACGCTACGGAAGTGCACACACACGCAACACACGCACACTTTTCTTTCTGAGTGCTGAGCGAGTGGGAGTCCACCTGGATTCCTCATAATGGAGGGGAGGGGACGGAGCCCTTGACCCTTTTCTTCGATGGGGGGGGGTTGATGGGGGAGAAGGGGAAGGGGGGGGGGGCGCGACCTAGGAAGAACCCCCGGGTGTCTGTGCAGTGCGCAGTAGGGCGTCAGTCTGCAGGGCGCAGAGGTCCAAGACGTCCAAATAACAATGTGCAGTGGCTTCACGAGTCGTCGGGAGATGGGAGAGACGAGGTACTAGTGTAGAGACATGTACCAGGGACGGATGGGAGTCGTGGTGTCGTGATGGGAATAAGCGGTACCTCAGACCCGTGGGGGGGACACACAGAGGACACACGAAGGAGGCCTCTTACATTCAGTGTGGGGAGCCTGAGTACGGTGCTGTGCTGTACGAGTACTCGTACATCGTACATATATAGCATATACTGCTATAGGTAGTGTACTCGCTCGTAGAGCCGGCATCTCCATTGCTTGGCCTATCGTCTTCTCTCTCCTCAGCCTGACCTCTTAGCTCGATCCCTTAGTCCGCGGTACGTTGAGGACAGGCTCATCCGGTAGACCAGCACAGTCTGGAATCACATACAGTCTCGATCCTGCCCATATTCATACTGTATCAGGAGACCGACCGCCCTCGGCCTCTACTGCAGAGGGTGGATCCGTACATCAGAAATTTCTCCTCTCTCTGACCGTATACAGTACCTTTCGGCACATTTCAGGTGGCTTCCGTCCCTCGTAAGCGGCTCCACTCACCAAGCCCTGATGCGCACTGTGAATACTGTGTCCGGTGGTCGGTCAAGAATTTTTTTCTTCCCCCATCTACATGTAGAGAGCCACAGGAGCGAGCCCATTCCCGGGAAGAAATTGCGGTCCCTCTCATGTAAAGAGAAGAAGGAAGATTTTTCCCTCCTTCTTTTTTCTCTAGGAGAAGAAAAAAAGAGGGAGAGAGAAGAGGGAGAGGGGACGGCGGGGGGGTAGAAGATGAAGAGGAAGAAGAGAAGAAAAACTCTTACTGCCCCATAGACTGCCCACCAGAGCCCACCAGAGAGCTACGCAGACGTGTGATGGTGCTATGAATCGGTATCAGAGCAACTCGTTCGTCATACGGCGTGGTCCCAGAGCTGAAAGTCACCATTTTCAATATTAATAACAGAAGCCCCTTGTTCATCAAATAGCAGTCATCATTATCTAATTGCTTATTACTATACGACTCTACAGGTACACGATATTACTGCAGACTACCCAGTACATAGATACATGTACATGTGCGTCCTGCAGAACCGCGGTGCAGAGTCGGAGGTATCACCTAGTCCTCGCTTATTTCCCTCTTTTTGATATTTGACCAAAACGCCCTGCATATTATGGGATATGATGACCATGACATGAGCAAAACATCAAACACCAATGGTCCTGCTTATTATTAGTTCACCGTCACACACACACTCTCTCTCTCTCCTTCTCTCTATTCTTCTCTCCCTCCTCTTCTTCCTCTGTCTCGTCTCTCTCTCTCTCTCTCTCTGTCTCTGCTATGCAGATTAATACACAATGTCGTTACATTATTATATGTCATCGTCACATCTCGAGACACACGACATCTATCCGCCACCTGCTCTGCCTGCTGGCCCTGGCCTCTCGACAGCTCATCTCGCTAATATGCCATCACTCTCCGTTGCGCTCTCAATCCTGCAACTGCTGCATATCTGTATGCACTCTGCATGTAGTATTATCGTCCTGCCCATCACCGGCCATACCCACCACTATATTACTATCTACTCCATATACACAATTACTCGTCTACCTCACAACATCATACCGTCGTCACGCCCCTCTGACGCAAGTACCCGCCGTCCGTATTCGACTGATGTCGCTACATGATGATGCTATATTAATACTCACTCTCTTGCTCTGTACAATGTACGGAGTACGGAGTACGGAATGATAGTGCTCGTACACTGTAATGATACTCCGTAGTTCTGGTCGTCATAATACCGCCTAATAATACCAGCAAACGGCGCATCGAAGGACCCTTGATCCCACGCCACCCCTGTTCCGATTCTTTTTCTCCCCCCTACAATCTTGCCCACGAATGGTTAGCCTGCCCTCCTCTCTCTCTCTCTCTCCCTCCCTCTCTCTCTCTCTCCCTCCCTCTCTCTCTAGCCTCCTGCTGGTCCCCCTGGCTCTGCGCAGCGTACAGATTACGTCGTCTGGCATCCCATCAAATCAAACCCCTCATAATAACCAGACAGGTTGAGCAGGTGAAGAGTACTTATTAGGGGAACTCTGCTGCCGTTACAGATTACTAGTACTTAAATGGTCATCCTGAGCGGGGGAGCCGCAGTCTCTCTCTGTTTACGGCTACCAATACTACCACTATACTAGTCTCTGTCTCTCTCCATCTCTCTCTCTCTCTCTCCCCCCTGTGTGCTGGCTCTGTATGGTCTTGTATGGTCTTGGTCGGCTTCGTTCTGCCGATTCGATGCCCATCCTTCCCCCCTCTCTCCTCCGGTCGTTCCTCCTGGACAGACGAGAAAGAAGCGAAGAGAGAGCTGATCACGGGATCGAGGACACATGTACGAGGCATATCCCTAGCTCTCTGCCATGCCCCTGGCCCATTTCGTCATCATCCTGTCCCACCTGGACAACTTGTAATAGCTCATGGGGCTCATGGGGTGTCATGCCACCACCAGAGTGACGGGATGTGCCCACCACCATCATCGTACTCGAGATCTACCAATTACCCCCTCCCCCCCCCCCCCCCCCCCCCCCCATCTTAGCTCGGCATTGTATAAATGTGTATGTATGTGTGTGTGTGTGTGTGTGTGATGATGTCTTCTATCCACATCTACTATAATCATGACAACTACGAATTCTTGGAGATGGATGATGAGACACGAGAGAGAGAGAGAGAGAGATCCACCAACTTGAACCCTTTCTTCATATTCCTGAGATCAACAACACACACACACAGCATCTCCTAACGGAATCAACATCCACCATGACGACAACGTCAGATGCCGACTTTATCGTAACCAATCACGCGCCGGCCCCCTTCTGCCCGCCCGCCAATGCATATACTAGGTAGAATAGAAGTTACGGCGTGATAGTTTACGGAGGAGCGCTATTAGTACCTCATGTACGTCCTAGAGATACATACGATGGAGAGGCGCAGTCTGATTGTCGACTTTGCGACCGTCCGCCGACAGCGCATCGAAAATTCAAATATTGAGTACGTAAGAGATTGATTTTTTCTTCTTTTTCTTAAAAAAGAAAAGAAAGAAAGAAAGAAAGAAGAAGAAGAAGAAGAAGAAGAAGAAGAAGGGGAGGAGGGGTCTTCCGACTGCTACAGAGTAATAATAGACGAGACTTCACCGACCGACCTACCGGGTTTCAGCTTCTCTACTTCGTCCCATCCGTGACGATCCTTTCCCAACGACAGCGGGGACGAGCCTTCTCACGCGAGGGCAGTCGACGTGGTGATCATCAGCCCTGCGTACTCGTACGTACGTATTACATGGTAGTCTTACGTGTTCCTCCTGCCAACAATTCATGGATGACGACCATCGCCACTCCGGCCCCCCGAAGATCAACAATGAATTATCGATGCATTTTTGTTTGTTCGACGGGCCGAGGGCGGCAATGGAGCGGGTCTACTCTACTTTCTACTTTTCACCGCATGTTAACCGCCACTGCGTCGTGCGGGGATGTATCCTCACACACATGTCACGCTTCCTATCATCCCGATGAGAAAAGGGGGGAAGGGGGGGGGGGGGGGGGGGGAGGGAACCAACACCTTTTTTTGATGCGCAACAACACTCCGTACTCTTCTTCCTCCGGACTCGGCGAGAGAGAGAGAGATCCCCGCATCTGTTACGCCCCGTACATCTGGAGAATGCAATGCCAAGTAATGGGGGGAGCCGCCACGGGTTACCGATTTAAGCACAGGTCGTACGACGAGTGTACTATCGTATAATACTGACCACGGAACCTGTAGGAATCGATATGGTGCTGCATCCGCCCATACAGTCGGACCCGTCTTGCTGTTCGTTCTTCTTCTACGGAGAACTGTCCATGGCTTCCATCTCGCTCGCTGCTATGGCACGTGGTGGTTCCGGCAAGCCTCCCCCCAGCAACACGGCATATGATACATATGATACACCCAGAGAGGAGAAAAGAAGACACCCATGTGTAGGTAAAGGCTGCATAGGTGACCCCAAGGCCCTTGGGCTATTTCACCTTCACGGGGACTGTGGCGGCCGCAGCTCGGATACCATCCAGAGCAGGCCTGTGTTTGACGCGCGACCTTTCCCATTTGCATTCCAGACGGGACGGTGCCCAGTACTTTGCATCACCAAAGCCGATCTGAACACCGTCACACTAGACTTTACATGTAGTCCAGGGGTTGGTCGACATTCTACGATTCAGGACCTAATGCCCCGTAGAGAGAGAGAAATGGGACAAGTCTAGGCACACCGGAAGCTTTCCTGCATCCAGAACACGAATCTAAGAAAGCGCGTCTAGGCCAAAATGTCTCCCCCCTCCCCCCCCCCCCCCCCGGTGGTCAGTAGATTTTAAACTCATGGCTTTCATGTATATGCTGAAACAACAAGTGCACAACAGCCACCACCATTTCGGAGTCTAGGTCTAATCAACAGACTCGAAGGATCATAGACAAGTTTCATGTGTCGTCGGGGGGGGGGGGAGACATACCCAACGTGCATTGACATGGAGCGAGGGCCTTGGTGAGGCAAGTCTACGAAATACACCTTATCATGGAACACTGTGTCTGTCTTGGATGTCCTTTTTGTGAATCCTGTAGCATAAGACAGGAGGGTTTTAAAAAAAAAAAAAAAAGCTCTGTTATAACCTTTTCTTGCAGAGTGGCGATCACACAGCAAGAAACAAAAGGTGAAACGGGGGGCTTCGGGTCTGGTTGTCCCAGAATAGAATGGCACTCCCAATATAGAATTCCGGCCCCCCCTCCATATCGAAAGTCGGATTCGACTGCTGTACTTGTGCTCGACATCTTGTCCGTCACACTTGTAGAAAAAAGCTTCCTGTTGCCGAGAAGTATATCTTTCGTTTGCGTGAGATGTCGTTTTCAGCCAGAAGGCTGTGCAAGGCCCAACTCATAAGTCGTCATGAGTCGGTGAGTTGACCACATAACTGCTTTGACAGTGCTTGATGCGACGACATGAAGAGAACCATCATACAGACATAACATTTAAAGGCAAATAATTCACAAAAAAAACAAACCCCCATCATAGAGGCTCCCATCCTCTCTGAGACAGAAATTATCTCATGTAATGGGATGATGGTTGATAGGGCGGAATACATAAAAGGTGACATGAGCTATTATATATCGTCATGTGATCACCCACGTGATCTGACCTCGGATTTTCCCTGTAGCCGAAATGCGGATGTGCTGGCCTGGCTGGGCTCCCGGTCGGCAAAGCCAGAGATCCAGCGTACCTCCCAATTACGAAAAGAGCTTCTCCCCCGAAAACCCACACGCTTCCCCATCAACCACAACCTCTCTCTCGACAGCCGCAGCCATGAACGCCTCCTTCCGCCTCGCCCGTGTGGCTATCCGCGCCCGCCCTGCCGCCATGCGCATCCCCATCCAGCGCAGGGGCTACGCCGAGGCCGTCCCCGAGAAGGTGAATTGAAACTACCTCTCCTTCTCCCCGCCCGTGGGAGAGCGAGAAAGAGCGACGCGCGCGACGCCCAAGCAAATATAGCTAACAACCAGAACCCGGCAAATACAGATCAAGCTTAGCCTGTCTCTTCCTCACCAGGTGCGTGGATTCCTCAGTTCAATTGGATGATCAATTCGATTGAATTGATACGTGGCATGGCATGGCAGTGTCGCGTGAAAACGGTAAAGCTAATTACCGCAATATCACGGGTAAAAACAAACAGTCCATCTACAAGTCCCAGGATGTCGTCCAGGTCAACATCCCCGCTGAGAGTGGCGAGATGGGTGTCCTTGCCAACCACGTCCCTTCCATTGAGCAGCTCAAGCCCGGTCTGGTCGAGGTCGTCGAGGAGAGCGGCGGTGCCAAGCAGTTCTTCCGTACGTCCGATCTATCTCGTCCCCAACCCAACATGTCCCAACCTGTGTTCTATCCAAGACAGATCCTCTGTATATATCTCTAACTCGCTCCGGCGCTGCCATAGTCTCTGGTGGATTCGCCACCGTCCAGCCCGACTCCTCCATGAGCATCAACGCCCCCGAGGGCTTCCCCCTCGAAGACTTCTCTGCCGACGCCATCCGTAACCAGATCACCGAGGCCCAGAAGGTTGCCAACGGTAGCGGCAGCGAGCAGGAGATTGCCGAGGCCAAGATTGAGCTGGAGGTACGTTTGACCAAGCCCTCCGACGAGTTCATAATACACTCCAAAAAAAAAAAACGAGAAGCTTGAAATACTAACTCCCCTCCCTCCTCTCAGGTTCTCGAGACTCTAGCCGCTCACGTCAAATAAGCGTGGTAGTTTTTACATGCTAAAAAAAAATTTGAAGCGATGCGCTCCTTTGTACATCAGAAACACCCATCTTCCCTATCGATTACATTCTCCTTTTTTTTAAAAAAATAACTTGGCCTTGCCAGGGCAGATAATAGATGTCACGGCATGCGTTCTTTTTTTCTTCTCTGTGTCAAACTACTGCGTCCCTGAACGAGACAGCATAACTCGGGCCCTCGCAGCTATATCTACCCCAAACCAGGGATTCGTTGATGCAGATGATGAATTGTACCATCTATCCTTGACTGCAGACTATTCACCCAATCCGCGGAATTTTATCGTGCTGTCTCGTACCCCACGGTGCTGGGAACTCTCAACATTGCAATGACATCAGTCATATTCCCCCCCCCCCCCGAGGTACATTTGGACAAGAGCAGAAAAGGCAGGTTTACATGGTGTGAAGTATTGCGTGTGCGTTATTGTCGTATATGTCATGCCTATTCATGATGTGCGTTTTCTCCCCATGTCCCCCAAGAGAGAGAGAAGAAGAGAAAACGCCTCTATTTTTCTTGTCTGGACAGAAGATGATTACCACGTAAACTTCATCAACGCCGGGTTCAACAAGACGGGTAGAAAGAAGTGGCTGAAGACGACACAGCCCAGTGGGAAGATGGCAATGAGCTGATCGATCCTCCAGAGGTAAGGAAAGGCACAGGCGCCGCAGATCATCAGGCCCGTCATGCAGATGCAGAAGACAAAGACGAACTTGAAGCGGCGGGCGATCATGGGCATCTCGATGAAGAAGGACGTGTCGGACACCTCCTTTGCGGTCGCACCCCACGACATGTCGATGGAGAACATGTGGCACAGGATAGCCTGGCAGACGTGGACGGAGATGCCGCCGAGGAAGACGAAGAGGAGGGGAGCCCAGCGGAAGCAGGTCCAGACCTGGCCGAGCAGCGTGGTGTTCTCGCTGCGGTACCGGACCACGGCCAGGGCGAGGTTTCCGGCCCCCGAGAAGACGACGATGAGGGCGACCCAGACGCGCCAGCTGTTCATGTAGTAGTGGTCCAGGTGGCCGTTGGCCCAGCCGATGAGGAAGTAGTTGAGCAGGGAGCCTATCCAGGCGAAGCCGATGGCGTAGTAGGTGCCGACGTAGGCCATGATGCTGACCTTGGAGCCGATGGGCATGCTGGAGAGGATGAAGCGCAGGAAGAGCGGGGTGAAGGGCCCGCGCCGCCACCACAGCCTGACGGGGTGGAAGAGCAGCTCGTTGCAGCCGTAGGCGTACTTCTCCCAGCGCGCGAGCTCGTCGTAGACGGTCAGCGAGACGCCCTCCTTGAAGTCGTCGCCGCAGTAGGACCCCAGACGGATGTGGTAGCCCATGGTCTGCAGACGGAGGGAGATGTCAAAGTCCTCGGAGACGTGCGACTCAGACCAGAACTTCTCGTAGGGCGTCGTCGAATTGGGGTCCTTCTCGCCCGGGGCAAGATCCGGGTCGCCGTGCCGGCTGCCCTCCGACTCGAAGCTGACCTCCTGCAGGGCCGACCACCGCAGGAAGGCGTTGTGCCCGACAAAGGGGGACACGTCGCCGTTGGCCACGGCGTAGCGGATGGCCGTGTAGATGAGGTTGGTGAAGAAGGTGATGCCCATCTCGAAGTAGCCGGTCGTGACGTTCATGACGCCCGACGAGAACTGGAGGATGGCCACCTGCGGCGACTCCTCGAGCTCGCTGACCGCGTCGATCATGCACTCCACCGGCACCCGCGTGTCCGAGTCGATGATGAGGATGTAGTCGCCCACGCGGATGTTGCCCCCGGCCCACGCCCGGCCCAGCTCCTCGTCCAGCACCTCGCCCAGGCACCTCTGGTAGGCCTCCTCCTCCTCAGCCTGCGTCCAGACGCCGCTGCGGTCCACCGTCGCCAGCTTGTCCTCGACCTTGAGGCTGACCCCCAGCGCGTAGTTCATGTTGGACGCCTTCTTGAACTTGCCTCGCCGGATGAACCGGCCCAGCCCCTCGCCCTTGGGGTTGTGCTTCGGCCGCGCCACCCACCCGATGTTGTGGGCCGCGTAGTAGGCCTTGCGCTCGGCCGCCTCCTCCGGTGAGAGCAGCTGCATTCCGTCGTCGTTCATGAAGATGCCGGCCGTCCCGCCGTGAGACTCGTAGTTGCGGATCGCTGCCTCGAGAGACTTGACGGTCGGCTCGATGACGGCCTCCAGCCCCTCCTTGTAGACGGGGCACTGGATCGTCACGTGGGGCAGCGGCCCGTCCATGACGTTCAGCCGCTTTACGGCTTTGGCCGAGAAGAATTTCGAATTCGCATTCACCTGGCTCACCGGTCCGAGGAGCTGCGCAATCGAGCATATGATGGCTTGGCAGAAGAACTGTTGCGGAGGAAGTGGTCAGGTCAGCATGACTTGTGCTCGAGGCAGGTACGTGATACGTGTCAATGTATCGAACGAACTTACCAGACTGACAAAGATTTGCAGAGGCGTAGTGACAAGCAGAAACAGGCGGTACCAGTCACCATCAGTCGCAATCTCCTGCGCCAGCTGCCGGCAGCCAAGTCCCACCAGCGTCAGGACCAGAGCTATGGTCAGGCCGACGGTGCACGCATTGATCAGCATCGTCGGTCGTTTCTTGATCGACCCGGCCTCCAGATCGGTGCCGTGCTTCTCGCTGCTCGGCGGGTCGGCCTCGGATGGGAACTCGATCACTGTACGGAGACGCTCTCGCTTCTCATCCACCGTGACGGTGCTATCCGCGAACCTTGCTCTGACCGAAGTGAGTCCGGTGCCGCTAGAATTGAGTCCCGTCTGGATGGGAGTGAGCCCGACGCTGCCAGCATTGAGCCCTGTGCTGGCGGATGAGGACTCTGTCAGGATCTGAATCTTCTCCAGCAGCAGGTTGACATTTTCCTGGAGCATGCCGTTGGCTCGATCGCCCAGAAACTCTTTGAGGGACTTGATACCAGCCCGGCTGCGATCGATCTCGTTCCAGGGGGGTTGCGAGAAGAAGTCACCCTCGACCACATTCCGCCGGTCGAAACCCAGGCCATCGCGGCGTTCCTGCGTCGATAGGTTCTTGAGGGCGAACCATCCTTGGGCTAGATGATGCTCCTTGTTGCGGGTAAGTCGCAGAACCTGTGAGGACCATTAGCCGAGATACGAACACCTTTCAATATTATGAACGGGGGGTTGGGGTTGGGGTTGGGGTTGGGTTTGAAGGATCCATAGCTTACCCTGTTCTCGTCGCCTCGCTGAACAATATCGCACTTTGTCAGCACACCAATCGTTCGGTCGCCCTCAGGATCAACGGCGCGGGCAAATTCGAGAGCCACTTGGTTTTCAATCTGGTTCGTGGCATCCACGACGGCCCTGGGTCACGTCAGCAAATTGTCGTCGGGGTTTGCCGTTGTGTAAAGAGAGGTAGACGTACAGGATGATTGACTGGGGTTCCTCGATGCAGCTCATCACCAAACTCTTTACAGCCTGTATTTCACGGGCATCAAGAAGTGCAGAATCTGAGAAAAGCAGTCAGATACGGCCATGGTCAAGGGGCGACGATACGGTCGCATACTGTGCATAAAGCCAGGGAAATCAACAACGCTCAGGCTGTTGACATCGGGTCCTGAAATCTCGACGACGAGGACATTATCGGAAAGGTGTTGCTGGTTGCCCACTTGCTCATGGTCGCCGCCGGCGTCTCGATCGACAATTGCGATACACATGCGGTTGGCAGCCTACATGATGTTAGAGACCAGCACGGGTATCGGAGATCTGGACACGGTCAACTTACCTTTTCCAGAATATCGGTAAAGTCATCGCCGGTCAGTGGCCCATTGTTGGCCACCTGGAAGCTTTCCAAGTGCCGCAAGACAGCCTTGTCTTGACTTTTTAGCGGCCCAGGGCGGATATGTGCCTTGACAGTAGGATCCTGGTCCGTCGTGCGCTTGAACTGTGCGTGGATGGCGAAGTTGCTCAGAAGATGCCTCGATGCCGGCAAGGACAGTCCGGTCAAAGCCTCAAAGATTGACGTTTTCCCGCAAGATTTGTCCCCAATAATAGTGACCTGGAAATGTCCAAGTCAGTACACATCGATGCTTATCTCTGGTATCACGGAAAAGATGCACAATCAACACTACCTTTGGTAGAGGTTTGACATCCCCCAATTTCAGCCCATACAGCTGCTCGATAGCCTGGGAGCAACCCGGGTCCGTCGATGATGTCCTCAAACTCGGCGTCTGCATGTCTGGGATCATCTGGTCGGGCATCTCTCCTACTCGTGTGATTTCTGGCACAGGAGGAAGATTCTCGCTCACACACACTCTCTCTCTCATGATACCGAGGGTGTCGAGATGAAATATGTATCCGAGAGGTTCAGGGCATACACAAAGACCCTCGTGCTCACTAGTACCCCCCCCCCCCTCCCCGGAATAGGCAAATTCTCCTTTGCCCGCAAGCATCTACTTGGAAACGGTCGTTCAGGTCCTCGTAGTCAATGTTGGGACAAGTAGGTTAAACCATCGGCTGGTCTAGACTTGGGCCAAGACCCGACTAGCAAGCGGTACCCCCGAGTAAGTCGATGTTTGTGGGAGTGCCGACAACTGCTCCGTGGACGGAGATATGAAAGAGACCGGATTGGATTGGGACCAAGCCTGGCTTGACACGAATCGACCTTGTACGTTCCGCAGGGGTTACCGTGGTGGTATCAAGGCAAATTCGCCGGGTCACTTGCGATAGGGCATGGCATACAGAGTTCACGCACAGACATGGCCACGTTCTACGCAGGAATGGAGCTCATGATTATAGACGTATGGTGTGCATTGTAGAAGGTTCTACGTGAATGAATCAAGATGTTTGTGACTGGAATCAGCCTCAGAGCAGCCTACTTCATATATACAGAGTTGAGAAACTGAGCCCTAGAAGAAGAGCCAGGAGATTCGGGACCGACGCCGATACGGCCCAAGACGTTTTTGTTGCCAGCGGCGGCACAGCATACGTCGGCGTATGGCCTGCTGCAGTTGTCGCGTGCGTTTTCGTGACTGTGACATTGTCCGGTTTGACTCCAGTAGAGTTCCCCTTCAAGTACCAGCCCCCTATGTCGGTCAGTTTACCATGCGAGTCTAGCATGGCCACGTTGATGCCAACATTGGACGCGGAGGAGCGGAAAGAACCGAAGTAGGAGTAGTGAGAGACGTTTCTGTCGGGAATTCTTGTCAGCACAGTTTTTCTTCTTCCTTCTTCTTTCTTCTTCTCATCACCCTATATCAAAGGTAAGAAGCGTACTCGTTCTTATCCAAGTAAGTGGCAGCCGTCCGGAAGAAGTCTTCGGTGTGTTCTAGATTCGAGTTGTCGAGGGCAAACTCGGTGACCCAAATCTTCTTTCTGGGATAGATGGCCAGGACGTCGGCGATGTGGCTCGCCAGCCCGTCGAAGCTCCCGTACCAGTGTATCGGGATGAAGTCAAAGGTACAGCCCCCGTCGCAGGCCTTGGTGAAGTTGGACAGCCAGTGGAAGCCAGCCGAGCCGCCTGTGACGGCGGGGGCCCCGAGGGAGACACCGAGTTTCCTCAGAGGCTCCATCTGCTTCTTCCAGTACCTGGCCGCGTCGGAGGGTTCGATGTCGCTACCGCCGGTCTCGCCGGTGTTGTCCGGCTCGTTGAAGCCCATGGCGTGGGTGATGTTCCTGCCCTCGACGAGCTGGGACGTGACGTTCTCCAGAAACGTGGTGTCACTGAAGCTGGACGGCGCTCCCCACAGCATGGGCACGAAGTTCAGTCCCGTACCGTCGACGTAGTCGGCGTTGGGGTACATCTTGTAGTTGTAGTACCACGAGAGGTCGGAGCCCTTCTGGATCCATACCTCGTCATCGGCGGGGAAGTCAGAGTTGGGGATGTAGATCAGCCCTCGCTTGCTGGACGTGTGAAAGCCGGTGGTGGTGTTCGCAGCCGTGAGCAGGGGCAGGATGCCGAGCAGCAATGATGTGAAGAACATTTTTGGATTTGTCACACGATGTTGAGAAGACTCAATCTTGGTGAGAATCGCTGTCAGTCGGTCAATCTTCGAAGACGAGGAAGAAGAACGCACACAGACACACACACAGACACACCTAAATGCGCACGCACAACATCGCTAGTGATTCGRGRSSGGGGGGGGGGGGKGGGRGGGACCAGGTCAACAACCGGAATAGGKGACTCAAGACGACAAGACCAGACAGAAATGGCAGCATCCACACTCGTTCTAGGCCATCTAATCCGCCTGACTTGGTTCTGCAGTGCTACGCTCCTACTCGTATGTCCAGCTGACAATAGCAGCTCGAGATCCGACCATGGGCTGCAACGGAATGTGCGGGGCCAGAAGGATCGTGGCAATATTGGTATAATACATACAGATATAGGGGCACCTCCGAGGTATCCATTGTCGGGTTCCGCATGTAGACAGTTCATAGGAAGCACAGAGAGTTGTTAGACGGGCGCCTCGGAGGGGGACGATGTGATCTGGACCACGGTCTCGGTTCATGGCAGCCTGAGCATTTAATTCAGCTAGTTTCCGGAATTGGAACGTAAGAGGGATCACCGCACGCTCAATCGATGTCCAACATGGATCGGGGTCCAATGACTTACACGCAGTCTAGACTGATACTGCAGATTAGACGCCGCTGCTCTGAGATTGAGAGGCTATACCCGTTCTAGTACTATACCCGAAACGGGCAAGGGAGGCACGCATGATTCGGCCCCCCAAACATGGAACTCGGCGGATCCATGAAGAGGGATGAAGACAATTTATGGGGAGGGGAAGGGGGGAGGGTTTCCGTAACTGGTCGGTTCGGTTCCTCAGTTCGGACATCAGAGCAGGTTGAGCCTTTTCCAGACCGGCGTAGACATGCGATGCCCATGTGTAAACCGGGGGTTGTCTTAGACACGGTACCCGCTTCATTGGAACCGGTCCGTGTGGGTATCCCCCCGTATCACAAGTCAGAAGTATCCATCAAGGCTTATCAAGAATCGAAATAGACTGGATGAGAGAATTGGAAGTGCTGAATAATAGGAATAAAAAAAATGAAGATGAAAAATAGAATCAAAAAATGCTAGACGCGCGTGATGGAGGAAAACGGTTGGCTCTCTAAGAAAAGCCCGAAAGGTCGGTGGCACCGTCATCGCATTGCTGGTGCATGGACACCCGCTTGACGACGAGCTCTCCGTGGCCGTCCTTCTCCCAGGTGGGCCCCCACTGGTGCCTGGCATCCCAGAAGTCCTTCCTGGGCGTGGTGGACGCGTCGGCCCAGGGTTTGCCCTGCACGCCGTCGGCGAACCAGCCGGACGTGCCGCCGACGCCGACGGATAGGATGAGGTAGAAGGGCCGGTCGAAGGGGGTGGAGCGGCTCGTGCCGGCGCCCTCCCACGGGTCGACGATGCGCGAGCCGTTCCCGTAGGTGGCGCCGAAGCCGCCCAGGCGGTAGAAGTCGTGGCTGAACTTGACGTAGGTGACCTGGGCCAGGCGGCTGTCGACCCAGGTGAAGAGGTACCTCTCCGTCCACTCGAGGCCGAAGGTGTGGAAATCCTCGTGGTACTCGGCGTGCCAGCCGTGGCGGGCGCCGGTCGTGGTCTGCCAGCGGTCGGCGGTGGGGTCCGGTCCCCAGTGCAGCGCGCTCTGCAGGAGCTGGTTTCCCTGCCCGCCGCCGTAGCTGTAGTTGTTGCCCCGCGATATGCCGATGTCGATCCCCCCCGACGCCGGCCAGCTGCCGTAGTAGTCCTCGGCCGGGAACATCAGGAGCTGCGAGAGGAGCCAGTCCCCGGCCGCCAGCTTGGCCGTGACGTCGACGCGGCCGTACCGGATGACGGCGAAGTCCTTGGTGCTGATCCGCCCGGACTTGACCGGTTGCACAATCTCCCCGGCCGTCAGGTTGGCGGTCAGGATGCACTCGCCCGGCGTCCCGGACGTGCAGGTGCCATCGGCCGTGAGGTTGGTCACCTCCGTCTGTGCAATGTAGCTGTCGGTCTGGATGGTCGGCCTGATGACGAGCTGGCCATCCCGTACGAAGACGTTCTCGTCACCGCCGGTCGTCACCTCGAATTCTCCGTTGCTGTCCGGTCCGAGCCGTGTGTCAGCGCGGTAGGCCTGCATGGCGAGAGAGATGTGTATATGAGGAGAGTTTGCTGTATATGAGAGGGGTGGGGGGAGAGAGGGGGGGAGGGGGAGGAGGGGTCCGTTTCAAGAATCTCACCCGTAGCCGCCAGTCTCGACATGTTTGGACCATATTGTTGAGTTGAATCCGTTGGAGAAGTCGTCGACAAAGACCACGCAGTACTCGTGGTTGCTGACGGACGTATAACCCGTCCACGACAGCACCGCAATCACGGCTAGGCCACCGAAGAAGCCCATGAGCGGGATCAGCGTGATCCAGAGGGCCCGAGGGTCCTTCTCCCTCAGCTCCGGTCGATCGACGGTGCCCTTTCTTATTCGCCGCGAGCGGAAGTATGGACGTGGTTCGTATGCTGCCCCTGTAGTCCGCGCGGAGTGGCTCGCCGAAAGGAACCTCTGATGCCTTGGTCCCTGGTCCCTAGGCACCTGACCGTCATTCTGCGAAGGGAGACGGGGGGTGCTGACAGGTCTCCCCGAGTCACCAGTCGGACGATGATCCATGATCTGGTTGTTGGGTCCAGAGATGAGCCTGGCTGCATTTGCGTTACCTGCGCTATCACTACCGGAAAGGTCCATGATGATTTATCGACTTTGGGGGGGGGGGAGCTTGTTGTATATATCATAGCAAGACTGCTGCGTTCTGTTTTTTTTTCTAAGAGAAAACAAAGAGAGAGAGAAAGAGAGTTATGAAGGGATTATGAGTATAGGAATCAGACAGATGAGAACAAGGTCAAATACATAATTGTCGGGTCTAATAAGGGGAGGGGGGGGGAGAGCTACTCAAAGGTATGGAGAGGCAAATTCTACCTATGCTAGTATCTACTGACATGCAGGTCAGGGTTGGAGACGACGCAAGTAAACACCCGACTCGACGGGGCATGCTGATACATGCGGTCAACGGCGGCCACGAGGATCCAGGCATGCGACATTTCTAGAAGGACCTGGGACTGGATGCTCAACCGTGGGTAGGCTAGAACGACAGACGGTAGCATACCTGTGTTCGTCGTCTACACGAAAGCAGCAAGTGTACGTCGTTTCCAAGCTAACGAACGGCCCGGTGTCTCTCGTTCAGCGACGGCGGGAACTAGATCCCGACGCAGAAATATTCAATTCCTTCGCATACGTAGACGTCGCACATTTTGTGGAGGAGGTCAGAACTTTTTCGACGGGAGGAGCGCGTGGAATGGTCCCCACAGACGTCTTTCTCTGTTTCGTCATTCAGTACGATTAGCGACTGTTGGTCTGTCTTTCCGGGGTCTAGACCTCTATGTTCTGGTCGACAGTATGCAGATGAGTTTCTCTTGATGGTAGAGAAGGGGTCTGTTTCTTCTCGTCCTATTCTCTCGACATGTTCATCGTGGCTTTTGACTTGCAATGCATCGAGGTTCGAAGATGGCAAGTCGACGCACTTCGAGGACTCGGAAGAAGAAGAAAAAAACTACGATGAAAAAGGACATGACTTCCTTTTGGGACTTGACTCTGATCCTCTCGCTCTCAACTTCCACGGCAGCTGATAGGGTAGGCTACCTGTCCGGTGCGGTCTCCCTCAACACGACGACGGCCGTTCGGAACATCGGTGTTGATATCAATCGGATGAGATCAGTTGAACTCTCGAATTTCCGCATCACCTTCTGTCTACCGTTCCCACTATTCTTGGGATGGTAGCGGTACACTATGGAAATGCGTTGTGGCATGGGAAGTTTCAAACATCAGCCTCTACGCATACATATCACGACCCATATATCGAGACTCGACAACTTGATAGTAATAATACGTGTACGTGTAAGTCATGGACGTCTCCTCTCTCTCTCTCCTCTCCCTCTCTCCCTCTCTCCCCATCCCTTACACAATTTCCCTCTCACTTGGGAATCTCATGCTCCTCAACCCCAAATCATGCGCTTGACCAGAGTAGTAATACCACGGTGCCAGCCAGAAACAACCGCCCAAGCATGGCATCGCTACAAAAGACCAGACCACGCGAGCCCTTACATACCAACATGCTTTACATGTATTCTCCATACACTCAAACCTCTTACCCGCACTACAGCCACTCTCTCCTGCTCCCTTACTAGACTCGCATACCATGAGAGCCCATAACCACCTACCCTGCATCAGAGAAGACCCAAGCTCACGATCCCTGAATGGACAGACGCCGTCAAAGCAGTCCTGAACCCCCAACGTCCCGCGAAGCCATCATCTTCGTCCCGTGACTCCATGTTATTCCATCAGATTCCCTACCTTTTTCTTCTTCTTTTGTCTTCCCAGCTCATCCTGACCTCTGACATGTCAGTCTCACCATATCAACCATTATTAACCATATACAGGTAACTCATCCCATATTCGAGGTAGTATACTTCGAACGGCCCCATGCCACGCTGCCCAGAACGAAAAACACACAGACCACAAGGTACGTAATAACGTGCACCACCAATTTTTTTCTTTTCCCCATACCAGTATTATATTCATTGTTCTTCTACATACACACACACACACACACATACACGATGCCCAACCTCCCTTCCTCCTCCCCCCCAACATGTTTCCGAAATATTATTATCTCATGTTATTTCATCTATTTTTTCCCACTTTGTCAAGTTCGTTGACCGGTCTCCCGAGACGCCGGTTCCGGTTGTCGGGCAAGGTGAAGCGGTGAGATGACCGGGGTACATGTATATGTGAAGGGGAACTTTGCGTAATATCTCTCTTTCTTTTCTTTGTCTGTACCGAGTACCGAGTACAGAGTATCGATACATATATATCATGTACCCAGCCCCTACATACTATACATTCACCCATTCCTTCTCTTTAACCGGGACGCACCAACAGGATAATGCGCATAGAAGATGTGATGATGAGTCTTTTATGTGGCTATGAGCAACCCTTCTTGACTCGTACGTACATTCGTACAAATCGAGGCCTGCACTCGATCGACTCCCCTGCCAATGAAATTGATTTGATTTGCTTCCACCTGTACTAAACATAGCCAAGGCATTTTCCTCTTCTTTGATATTTAAAAAAAGAAAAGTCTTGTCTACTCATCGAGAAAGTAGGCCCGACAGCTGAACGGTATCCGAGAGGGGGAAACCCCCCCCCCCTTCCCCGGCCGTCTGTTGAAACAGGGGGGAGGGGGGGGAGGGTTCCTAATATGACGAGTGAGTCAAAAGCAACGAAAGAAGAAAAAGAAAGAAAAAGGGGTAGGGGGTCAGGGCAAGGGTGTAAGGGGTGGCGCGATGCACATTCATGAATCACCATGCAGCCAAACTTCGTATATACACTCGGAGAAGAAGAAAGCAGTGAAGAGTCGATGATCATATCTCTGATGTCTATTCGCTTTTTTTTTTTTCGTGTTATTCTGCGCATGCTTTGAATTCATGTGACCTCGGTCAGATGCTTGATAGTGGGCACTCGGAAAAGGGGGGGGGGGGGGGGGGGGGGGCGCACCATGTCCTTGTTCCTGGGACAGAGCTCTTTCCCCTTTCATTCTTGACCGGTCAAAATGGTAAACGAATCCCTGCATTCTGTCTCTCTCTCTCTCTCTCTTTTATGCTCGTAGACTACTATTGTAGCTTAAAGTCAAATAGCTCGAGGCCACGAGTCCCCACATCAACCTTGTAGACGGCCCCGCCAAGAGCCTTGCTCGCGTCAGGACCGTCGTCGTCGGCAGCCGTGGTGATGACTAGCTCCGTCCCGGCAAACTGGACGCAGGTGATGTTCCTGGTGGGCAGCGTGACCTGGGCGACCACCTTGGCGACGCCATCACCGCCAGGGCTGATCTTGATGACGCGGCCCTCCCCGTACACGGCGTGCCAGATGTTGCCGTCGACGTCGACTCGGAAGCCATCTAGACCGCCGGGGCCGTCGTGCTGGTAGAAGATGCGCTTGTCGGTCACGGCACCGGTGTCGACGGAGTAGTCAAAGGCGTAGATGTGCCCCGCGGAGGTGTGGGTGAAGTACATGGTCTTGTTGTCGGGGGACCAGCCGACAGAGTTAGGGATCGTGAGGCCGCTGATGAATTCCTCCCTGGCAGACTTGCCATCGAAGCGCATGAGGAAGCCTATGACCGAAAAACCCATGGCGGATCCTTGTTTTAGCCATCGTCGTTACCAATCATCAGAGAAGCCATGCCGTATGCCCACGATATTGTCTACTTCTCCCTCTCTGTCTCTTGGATATATCACATTGCTCTCTGCTGCTCTACCACTCGTACTATCCACATCACGGTCGGTGGGTGTCAATGGCAGATCTCTGTCATTGACTATCCCGTGCGCACTGCCCGTATCGCCTTGTCGACGACGAAGGGGGGAGCTTGTTGGTGGGTGACGAGCTGGGATGTCGTTGCAGAGAGCAGATGCTGTGGGTGGACAGGTAGGTAGGCAGGTACTCGCGTGGACTAACCTTCGGGTTGGAATTCTCCATAGGGAAAGTCCGTCATGGTCCCCAGCCAGAAGCGTCCATTGGGATCGCTGGCACCGTCGTTTGCCCTCAGACGCTCGTTGGGCTCATCGGTGAACCGGCTGATGATGTCGTACTTCCCCGTTTTGCGGTCAAGCACGGCCAGACCGCCCTTGACGCCGATGAGAATCCGATCACGAGGGTCGACCCCGGCGATGTTGCAGGTGACGCCGACAGGGACGTCGAGCTGCGTGGTCTGGAGGCTGGGCGGTCCCTCGGTGAGCGATACGGTGTGTACGCGCTTCTTCTGTATATCGACGAAGCGGACCGTCTGGGTATCCTTTTCGAAGAAGGGCCCCTCTCCCAGGGCGCAGTGAGGCTCCAGCCAGGGGGTCTCAACCTTCCACTCTTGCAGGGTCATGGTGGTGGTGACGGTAGCGGCGGCGGTCTGGTATTATCCCTTTTCTTCCGTGGAAGTGTTATATCCAGGTAGATAAACTAGGATAGAATAATGATGATAGAGCAAGGTAACCGGTAAAGGTGGCGATATTTCCCCAGAGCGTACCAATTACCCCGTCGTGAAGAATGATGTTACGGTGATGCGCTCCTTTCCATGGTTCTGATGAGGGGCAATGGATGAGGAGTGTAGTGGGGTCCCCCGTAGATACCCTATCGCCCGGAATGGAGAAGGAGCCATCGCAATCGCATTGCTCCTGCCGTGTCTAACAAAGAACGAGGGGAGACATGATTTTCCGCAATAGTTGGGACTTCTCTTCTCTTCCCTCTCCGCGCTAAATCCCTCTGTCAACATTCTGGGCAGTTTCATCATACTGCACTTGGTGGGAGCAATGGCATTCTGACATTGAATTCTAGCATCAGAGAGAGAGAAGGAGACATGTCATAGGCCAGAATGTAGTGAGACATGCAGATACAGTACAACCACGGATATATACATGCAATTAAAATTGCAACAGCCTTTTCATCAATACACGTCGGATCAAGTCTTTCGCATCCTGACTACCTGCCTACTTTGCCTACTGCACTTCGTACTGACAGCACTACCAGCACTATCATCACTATCACATCAAGCATTGTCATATCTGTATCCTACGGCTTCTGATGCAGTACAGGTCGTGGTAACCTACAATACGCAGATTACTACGCTTATGCCGAGTTCCCTTGCAAGTACTACACACACACACACACACACACACACATATATATATATATATGCGCGCGGTTGAGTTCGTCAGCAACACACATCACGGAGTACTGCCAGTTCATTATTACTGGCCGCAATACCAAGGTAGTATTGATACGAATTCTGTATATTTACTAGTGGTACAGGCAGAAATATAGCATGTCCATCACCAAACCTATCTTACCGAAAACGGGAAACCGGTAACACAACAGTCAAGCTACAAATTGGAACACGATACATCTCTTAGGAGTCTCCTACCTGTCACAGTCACACACGCGACAACGGCGACACTGGAAATAGCGCGTCCCTCATCCATCCACTTACACACATGACGCTAACCAGTATGTCCGTCTGCCCGAGTCTCGGGCTGCCATCGGGCATCAACCCTGCATCAGCGTTCCCGTACTCTCCTCCTCCCTCCTCTTCTCTTGTTATCTAGTCACCTTGATCAGAAGAACATGATGGCAGAGAGACGCACAATGACCTCTTTGCCACTCCGCGGGGACTCAGTCTAGGATATCACCCAGTGGTACCATGTTCGTAACGGGTACATGCTTACAGCCCCCCTCCCCCCCCCCCCCCCCCCCGGCCCATCCCCCTCACTCATAACCACGTCTTCTTTTTTCAACTCGTATGTGGCTGCCACGTCGTTTGCAGAAGAGAGAGAGGTAAGAGACAGATGGAGAGATGGTGCCACGTTAGGATCATGTCCCCGCAGGCCATTATTATCTTACATGTATTCTACTCGTACCCGTACACAGCTTGACAGAGACGGAGACGGAGACAGAGAGAGAGAGAGAGAGAGGGAGAGAGGGAGATAGAGAGAGAGAGAGAGAGAGGGAGAGAGAGAGATGGCTGATCTCCCCTTCTCGTACTCAGACATTCCCTCCCTCACCCCATTTAATCTATCAGACTTCAGACTAAACAGCTAATTTATCATCATGAGCTCAGAGCAACACGTCTCGCTATCAGGCTGGTATTAGTTGCGTCATGCAAATGCACGCCATACTTACATGTGCGCGTCAGCTACTCATTATTATCATTATCACTATTATTATTTACTAAAAAGAAAAAGCAGTCATCATTACGAATAGCCCACCCCATTTAGTCTTTTTTTTTTTTGTGTCTATGAACTTTGGTGTAATGATCGGATGATCGGGGAGAAGGGGGCAAACCCCATCCTCTCAAGACATTGCCAAAGGAGTTTCACGGAGATGCCATACCGTGTAGTCATCGTATGAGTTTTGGGGAGGGGGGGGAGGAGGAAGCCGCCTAGACGTTTTTTAATAAAATGAAGAGCGTGGCAAATTAAATGTAGAAAGCATCTCGTGTTATACCACATAATATACGTCAATGCCAAGATGTGATGAGCTCTCATGGCGAGAGTAGAGGCGAGAGAAGAAGGGAAAAAGGTCAATGACCAACGCACCCGGGACGATGCATCCTGCAGGTGAGTAAATTAACGGTTCATGAAATAGTATCTCGGTCAAGGGAGGAGGAAAATTAAACTCCCGAAACCAAAAAGAAAAGAAAAGAAAAGAAAAGAAAGAGAGAAAGAAGAATAAACAAGAAAAAAAAAAGGTGTATTACAGGTAATATAGAGAGCATGTATTACTCGTAAAAGTGGTAGGAGAAAGTGATGGCCTTGTCAGCCTGACCAACCAATTCTCACGACAAGCGCCCAGCGTCGTATATTATAATCTCACGTATTCGGCACGGGACTTGCTCCTTTGCTACGTCTCGACCCACATCCCACTAGTCGCTTTGTGTTATTATGACTCCGTCAATGTGATCGTCGCTCGGGTTTGCTGTGTGGCCTTGTCGTGGCTATTGTTGTATATATGTACTCGTACGTGTGACATTGCCGCAGTGTCCCAATTTCCCTTTATTTACCTGGTGGTTCCCTCCTCCCCCCCTCCCC